ACCATGAGGTGAACTCATTAAAGTCACTTTAAACATTGTGTGTGTACAAGAGTGAAAGGTCCTGCTGTTGAGATCATACGTTCCTATTGTGCGTCTGTTTAATCCAAATTGCAGAATGACCATGAGCCTGTGGCACCGAGGCCAAACCAACTCAGTCGGCCCTCAAGGACACACTACCCTGCTCAGCCTCCTCGAGCTTCGACTGGCCCGTTGGTAAGTGTGTGTTGCAGCTCTTAGAAAGAAGTTCTCCTCTCTTGTTGTCTCAACACTTGAGCTCTGTCTGTTCTCGTCCCTCTCCACTACTTATATGTTATGTGTCTCTTCACTCTGCAGATACACAATCCTCCTACAGTGAATGTGCCACCTGCATATTCTAAGGTATGACCTGCTAGCTATATCAGTCTGAGAATACACAAACACACACGCACGCCCGCCCGCCCACACACACACACACACACACACACACACACACACACACACACACACACACACGCACGCACACACACACACACTCTCACTAACATACACGGATCAGCCACAACAGTTACCTGTTTAAATGTTACGGCTGGTCGGTGTGAACTGTCCATAGTATTTTTCATCTTCTGTGCACTGACCAAAGTGGGATGTCTTATATTGTAATCACAATAACCAAATGAAACCTTGGTTGAGACGAACAGTGGCTCTCCCAGTGTGTTACTTGGGCTAGTTAATGTTTCTCCAGAGTGTTTCCACTTAAATCTTTATTGTCAAGAGATTTTCACCACCAAAAGAATTCACGATAACAGTATTATCGCGATATTCATAGAAAATTTTTAATTTAAATAAATAATTCTTGCAGCTACTCATCTTTAACTTTGTTTATTGTGTGTTTTGTCTCCTTTTCAGCAAATGAATTAGACTCAAATATAAATATCTTACAGTAACTGTGATTCAAAAATTGCAATTATACTATGTATCCAAATATCTTCATCAATTATTTGGCATGAATATTCCCCATGTTGCACATAAACAGCAGTGGCCGCTAATATCTGTATTTTAGACTTAATTCAGGCAGTTTTGCATCGATACGAGAGCCGGCTTGTGATAATCTGATGCTCTGATAGTGACGTATCTGTCTTTTTCTCTCCAGGTGTCAGCTCCAGCAGAGCAGGCAGACGCTCCAACCGTCCCTCTATATTCTGATCCTGCGCCGCGGTTTGAACTGAAGGGGATGACCTTTCCCTCTGCTTCCCCACTCAGTTCAAACTCAACGTGCTGTGATGTTTATAACTCAGACAAACTCAACTTGCTCTGAAAGCTGAGATTTTTGAAAGGTACACTCAAATTGGTAAACTCACCCATTAGTGTGACATAAAAGGAAAAGTTTGACATTTTGGGAAATGTGCTTCTTCTTTCATCAGTGACTTCAGCTGCTGGCTGCAGGTTCATATTTAACATACAGAGATTGCTCTTCTCAACTGTCAGTATGAAAGTGAATATGTGCATTTCCCAAAATGTTGGCCTACTCTTTCAGCATGTATACCATTAAAAAATAGATAGTTATGGTGTTATTTACACTAATTTCCTATGCCTCACAAGTCTCACTTAAAAACAGTGTAATGAGCTCATCAGTAACACATACTACTGAGTGAATAGTTTTCTCATAACTGCTGTTCTGTCAAGAATACACCATCTATTACAGACCATCTTGACTGTGAAGAACTTTTCAGGGAAGATACAAACATAAAGTGGCCTGCAAAGCTTGCTATTAAAAAGTGGTAGATCTTCTTGTGCTTGTGTGCATGTTACTATTCTTCATGCACATTTGCTTAGCCTTTGGAATCTAGTTAGTCTTGTTTGACATGAGATAACATAAACGATTGGTGCATGCGTTATAGAATATAGTGTTGAGTCATGTGAATTAGACATTAGACTGATATTTATATAAAAACTACGCGTATTGTGAAAAATTTTTCATTTGCTCAGGCCAGCCCCACCCACCCACCCAACCCACCACACACCACCCAACACAACCCACACACCCCCCCACACACACACCCACACACACACCCACCCACCCACCCACCCACACCACCCACCCACCCCACACACACACACACACACACACACACACACACACACACACACACACACACACACACACACACACACACACAAATGTTTACGTCTTATTATAGTGATTGAGATAAAGAAAATGCCGGCACTCACAGTGGAATAGTCTTATTATTTAATAAGGGGCAATTAACAAATGGGTTTCAGCTATAAGCCATCATCAGCGTTGATAATGATGAAATGCATTTGTTGATGGCCCCATATTAAATAATAAGACTATTCCACTGTGAGTGCTGGCATTTTCTTTATCTTGTTGACTCAGCTACGACCTTACACCCGGTACAGTGCTCAGGATTTGGAGCTGTGCACGCTGCCGCTGTTTACCTTATTATAGTGATTGTTCGACAACTATAAAATGGAGAGTGGAAAAGTGGCACGAACACACCTCTACACCTCTGTGCCGCACTCTGTGCCTTAAGTGCACTGCTTTAACTCAACATTAATCTGTTACTGTATTTGTTACTTTTTTTACAAACACACACACATGCAACACACTGAATACACTTGACTATAGTTGCAATATGCCTCTGTTTGCATGTCTCTTACCTCTCACATGTACACTACGCACAACAGCACTTTGAGTTTTAATAATTACAGTACTCATTCATGCCTTAGTTTATGATTGTTGTGTAAATATGGTAGAGTGGGTTTTTATTTAAGGGCTAACTGAGTCTTTTTTGAAAACTTGATATGAAAAGTTGTGACAAGTGAGCCTCCTGTGTCCGTACCTCAGTGTATTTGTACGTTGCATCAGGTGCATTAAACGTTTTTACATAATTGTGTCAGTGTTTTCTTGTTTTCGTGTCTTCACAGACGACATCATTTACTTCTGATTCTGCGACAACCCTTCCGCACCACTACGAGCACCACCCACCGAACATGTCCCTACACAGCCAAAAGCTTATCCAAGCAGATACATTCCTTACACCGCACCAACTGGTTCACAAAAGAAACAGTGAGCAGAAGTTTAAATACGACTGAGCCTTTTGTGTTCCAAAAAAGTAAAACTACAGAGCCACAAATCTGTTTGTTGTAACAAACAGTAACCAATTCTCTGTAGACACATTTGTTACTCTCAGTGATCCTGAAAATCCCTCCAAGTTTACTAGCCCATGCAACCTGCATTTAAAGCTGTCTTTGTAAATAGCAACTAAATATAAACTCAAACCTGTAGCCTCAACATTCTGCACCCAATAGCAACAAATACTGATATTTGTAGATTTGAGAAAAATGTATTACAACTACCTGATAAGTGCATCAAACAACCGATGATTATTAATCCAAGAATTAAAAATCCAATAACTGAGATAGTTGCAATCACATAATTAGTAATCTCTGAAATTTGGATCTAAGATAAGATAATATTACAGTATCACTGAAATCACTATTATCTGCCCGAGACACATTCTGTAGCTGTGGAGATCATAAAGGACAGCTAGAAAAGTGACAACGTGTGCAAGTTCCAAACAAAACTGGATGTGCAAAAAATTAATTTCACTTTTATCCGTCTACTTTTAAGATACAGAGCAATTAACTTAGTGCACAGGTGACTTGTTAACAAACATCTGCTCATTTATATATTCCACTGACCTGAGATCAACATAAGCATTTATTTTGAGTTGTGTTTCTGGTGCTTTTTCAATTAGAGCAGCTGCCTGGGAACAAAAATGAGGCTATGAGAGCGGCGAGAGTGAACCAAAACAACGTGCTGAAAGATGCTATAAAGCTCTGTAGAGCCGAGAGGGAATAATTCTCTGTGGTATTGTCAGTAAAGGCTATACCTTTCACAAGACGCGGCCATTTTATCCTTTGTTATTCTAAATATATCAATCCTAGTGGCTTTAAAGTCAAATACATTATTCACATACATTTTCTCATATTACGTATTTAATTTTGACAGTAAGATTTCAAGAGACCAAATAATGATTTTGTAAATGTGTTTCGGTGTAGCATCACATTATCATCACTGCTATTCTTTGTCTCTGTGATGATGCAGAGAGTTGGTGACACAGTGGGACAGTTAGTTTCGCTGTGGATTCATATCCGGCCCACTTGGCACTCCACTACAGCGAAGTGGGGGGGGGGGGGGGGGGTGTTAGTAAGTTGTGCTGGTACAGGGTGAGCTAGCAGTACTGATACTTCTGGCAATGAGGTCAGACTGTTCCACTTGGCTGGAGTGGCAGTGGGGGTGAACATTGTTGGTGCGAACCTAAGGATCAAAAAAGCTTCCAGCTGACTGAGCAGCAGGGAAGCAACCAGGCGAAGGGAGACTGAAGAGGCTGTTGAGAGACCACAGGTCGGCCTGGGTTGAAGATACCATTTTGGTCATGGTGAGATGAAACAGAGATGTCAAAGTTGAGACTGGTCACTTGATACTGGATTATTTCAATGTCCTGATAATGTAATAATAATTTAAGTGTCAAGTGTTGTCAACTGTCCACACAGATATTTTTAGTCAGGGTAGCATCATGGCTGCTGTGTAGATGACGAGGCCAGTCAGTCCATGACTTTAGTTCCAGACTAAATTATCTCAGCAACTATTGGCTAGATTGCCATGATATTTGTTACGGATAAATGGTGCACACAGTAACCCCTTGACTCTTCCTCTAATGTCACCAGCAGCTCAAAGTTTCTGGTGAATTATTTCAACATATATTAGATGGATTGTGATGGAATTACAGCCATGCACAGTTCCCAGTGAGTGCAGCCTAATAACTCTGATGATCACCTGACTTTTTATCCAACACCACAATAAGGTCAAAATTTTAATTTGTCCAGTATGACCAAATTACTGCAAAACTGATGACATCAACTGATCCCATCAGCCTCAGTTGTACTTTAAGTTGAGTGCTATGCTTCATCAAGGAAAACAAAAAGAGCATTCCAGATTAAAAGTCCCAGAGATTTATTTATTTGCTTAATAGTTTGACACACACATATAGAAACCATGAATATTACTGTTTACTTAATCAATATTACCATCACTGTGTCCATCTTTACTCCTCTCAACCCTCTCCCATCACTATTCCCCTTTCCTCTTCTCTACTGCCTTTAGCCGGCCCTCCAGGGAGCTCAGTCGGTTTTCCACTACACCCGACTTTTCAGACGCAGAGGTGAGAAGAGTCAGCAGGACACATACCAGCACGAGGCCGGCCAGTCGGACCGCCGTGGTGTCTGTAGAGGCAGTCTTGTCAGTCACCATCAGTCCGAAAAGCCAGAGCGCCAAGACGGTTTTCACTATCCAGAACACCCGCCTCACCACCGCAATCAGCAGACGGAAAACGATGGTCAGCACCCAGTAGCCAATGAGAGCCACCAGGCCCCACTGGGCGACGGCAGTCACACCCTCTGGAGTGAATCGGGGCAACGTCAGTGCAGCTGTGGGAGGAGGAAATCCAGTTTAGGCATATTTTTCACAAGGAATAAAGCCAGTCCCACAGGAAGCAACAGGACTAAACGCTCTAGCTTAAAAAAGGAGTGGCAGACAGATTGCCCCGAGGGAGAGGCAAGACTGCATATTTTCACTTACACTTCAAACTTTCATTGCCACAGATCCTCTTTTACCCCAGCAGGCAATTTGTAGGGTTAGGGATTAGGATTAATTTACACCTTTACACATACAGGGAGGAAAAAATAGAGCATGCAGAAAAGCATAAGCACTTACTCAGTAGCTTGCTCAGACACACAGACACACACGCACACACGCACACACGCACACAGGGGCCATTGTGGTACCCACCATCAAATCCTGTGACCTTCAGGATCTCTGTGACGTAAACAGCAATGACATTCAGGCCGCTGGCAGCTCCTTCAGCCAGGAATCGGATCACCATCTCAAGAAACTGTGGCGGTGCGGAGGAAGGGTGGAGACATGTTTTACTTTGTTATTATGCAAGGTAACAGTGAAGAGAGGCAGCATTCTGATGGCATTAATAATCATGCAGAGAGGTAAGAGGTGCAGATTCATGTGCACAGCCAACCATGGCTCCAATGTGCAGACAGATACAGTGTGATTCATAATGCATGTGTATAAAACAGCACGGCTGATTTACAGCGGCTGCTGGTACAAACTGGATGACTGTATTAAAAGAGACTGCAAGTGCTGCTGAGGAGCACCTTATGATAGAAGAAGTGCTGTATTGTTGACTTGGACAAAACAGCTGTGCATGTGAGCGACAACTGGACAGTGCCCTTCGCTATTCCTGTACAGCCTCTATTCACCTCCCCCCAAATCACACACACACACACTGAGAGAGAGAGAGAGAGCGAGAGCGAGAGCGAGAGAGAATAACCTCGTCCAGCAAGGTCAAGGGTAGCTCAACAAGTTGGACAAGTATCTTATCTGCACCTGTTGCGCTACACACTGGCATGTAAGTGAAAACTGTCCAGCATGTCAGAGCATGAGTCAAGCATCTGTCACTCCACATCAGTGTGTGTGTATCACTTAAAAACACACTTAATCATTTACTGCTCTGCATGATTCTATGAGGCTCGCTTTCCAAATGATAAGCCTTACTGTTAAAAGGCAGGTTTGTGAAGCCACGGGTGTTTCAGATTCTAATGATGCAACTTACAAAAGGACAATTGCATTTGTATAATTTTCCAGCTCTTAAATCACTTGAAAGGACAACATTGCGTAGTGTCTTTATGTGATCCATCTACTACTAATGCTTCAAAGCTGACTTGAGGATTAAATTTTGTAGACAAACGGCATAGAGCGTGCACATCCAGAAGACTGACAGAAGACCTGCACACTGCGCTGACAGCTCCCAGTAAATATCATAGATGCCAACCAACGATTGTGAAGAAATGTTGCCCAACTAGATTACATTACATTTTACTGAGAGCTATAGGTGCAGTGTGCAGGTCTTTTGTCTATCTGTTTGTCTTGAGGATTAAATTACAAAATTATCACAAAATGACATATTTTTACTCCACTTAAACTGGGTTTTCTCACTAGAAACAAACATACAGAATCAAATTCAGATGGAGTAAGGCTCTATTTCAAATTGTGGGACTTAAATAGTCAATTTCTCATCCAAGGATCATGCACACACCCTATATTTTGCATTCACAGATACCAAACTGAGTCATGTCAACTATTTCCGCTCAGATATCAGCTTGCCAACACATAAAAAGAATCTTATCACTAAAAGCTCACAGGTATGGTGGCCTCTCATGCAAATATCTTCATATACAAACACACTTATGGCCTTGTTCGTCAGGACAGCTACGCTCCTAATCTCTAATAACTATGCCACCCACATGAACTAAACAGAGCCACATGAGAGGATTCTGTTTAAGGGACCATGTCGGGTCAGACTAGATGGAGATAGCCAGAAGTTTCTTACCATGGCCACTTTATAGATGTTCTCCTGACCAAGCAATGATTCAAGATACAACACTGCACTCTGGGGAAAAGGAAACCACAGCAGGATGGAGGCAGGGGGACAGAAAAGAGAGAGAGAGAGAGAGAGAAAGAGTGTGTGTGTGTGTGTTTATGGGTGAGAGGGATGCAAGGATATAAGAAGACATGAAATGAGGGCAGGGAAGATGAGGGGATCAGGAGAGAGATTAACAAGTTGAGGGGCATGGGGAGAGGAATGTGCGTGAAAGGTGAAGATAGGGATGAAAGTTGAGGGATAAAATTAGTGACCAGATAAAGTTAAGCATTGATTAAGAATAGTGACAGAGCAAACAGTTAAGTTAGACCACAGTATATTAACAATTAAAGAAAAAAAGATGAGTGTAAAGCCACTTCCCGGAGCAGGAAGGAAAAGTATTAGCCAGCGGTGCATCTCCTCTCTGTACCTCAGCAGCTGACCGCACTACGCCGGTTCCCAACACTGACTCCGCGTAGCGCTGGACCTCCTGGCAGGTTCCCACGATCACAGTGCGGAGGGTGACCGCCGGTGGGCTCTCCCCGGTCGGCTTGGCCTGCTCAGCTTCAGCTCCAGCCCAGCCCATCGTCAAGCCAAGCACCAAGACAGAGATGGTGAGGAAAAGGCGAGGCATGGCACATCCACCGCGCCCGCAGCAAGACGCACAAAAAGTCATTGCAGGAGATTTAAGAACAATGGAAAAAAAAAGATTGTGCTTAAAAAGTGTATGTGCTCAGGTTAAGGCTGCAGTCCAGAGCAGGTTGAGCAGCTGGTGTTCAGTGTCTCAGACAGGATTGTAAATCAAAGACTTAAAAATGGCTCCTGGTGGGAGAAATCATAGGTTACAGAGCGTTTTTAAATCAACATGCTGCAGTTCACAATGGGAGGAAAGAAAAATATAAGAACCGCGCCAGCTTCTAAAAATGTTAACGCACCGACTGATTCAAGTGTCCACTTTGCAAATTAGACTAAATGTCTTGGTTAAAAAAAGCCCCGGTGTCTCAAAATGATCTAAGTATTTAATTATAAACTTTGGCAGGGCTGCAAATATTCACTGTAAGACCGCTCCGCTCAGTCAAGGACACTCCAGCATTTACAGAGGCTATATTTGGTAAGAACCCGTTAAAGGCTTAGATCCAGCAGTGGTCGAGCTGATGATTTGTCAAGATGCAGCGGAAAGTTGTTAATAAAAAAAAGATACAGTAGCAGAAACGTCTCCAAAAGTTTTCCTGTTGCAGCTTTACGCGTTAAAGAAAACGGTAGAAACGCGGTGACGTTGAGCTGGCCACGAGTCTCCTAAAGCCTCTTATTTCTGCTCTGAGCTCCACACCAGTCAGGTTTGGTGTTCCTTTGTCTTTGCGCTTGCATCAAAAGCACTTATGCGATGGATTATGTTGCTCAACCTTTTTTTTTTTAAGAAAAAAAGCTCCCTTGTCGCTGTTCCCAAATGGCACTCCCTTCCTTCTAGCGTTTCTAACGACTGTAACCAGTGTGCACACACGTCGGGAAGAGGAGGAGGAGGAGGAGGAGGGGGAGGGGGAGGAGAAAGAGGAAGGCGCTGTGCACAGGGATAAACACAGATTTGCACACTGGGACTTGTGGTTTAATGCTCCAGGTCAAATGTTAAGATTATTCACAGGGTCTGATAAAACATTTCAGACTGAAAAACAGTGACGTGGAAATTGAAGCTGGACATTTTTGATGGCAATTTAATAACTAGCAACAGCAATTACACAGCATCAAGTCAGGAGACTTCAGAGATTTAAAGACAGTTTGGAGAAAAAAAGAGGCAGATTTCAAATAGAAAATGAAACAATAATGACATACAGTATATACATACATACCAACATGATTCAAACATCTACTACACTGGAAGGAATGCTGTCTGCTCACTGTACTAACAATTTCCTTTGTACACAGGTTCGTTTAATTGCCTGTTTTAGAATGCACACGCACACGTGCACACACACACACACAAACACCACAAACATCAGCTTGTGATGCAAACTCGCAGAATCTCATTTCTCTTCATTCTTCCTGCAGCAGTATCTGAAAACGGACAGTAAAGTAGTGGATACTGGAGCTGAATTCAGTCACTGTTTAAAAAAAAAAATTTTTTTTTTTTTTTTTAAAGCGTTCTGTTCAGAACATCAGTGTGGCCCCGCAAGGCTGGAATCATCGAGGAGAGGATTTCACACTGATAGCATCCTGTAGATACATGAGCATGGGATGTACATAGTCAGAGGAGCAAACATTGGCGTGCAGTGATGCTCCCAGCAGTGTTTGTACTACTGCTTATCTTGCTGACCCTTCCACAGCGGGGGGAACCGCAGCTTTAACCAATGTAAATGCGATGGAAGTCGTTCGCTCCGAAGGCAGCGTTGCACTTGGGGCACTTCCTCTGGCGTGTGTCATAGCGTGTCTTGACGCACTCGAAGCAGAAGACGTGGAAGCACTTGGTCAGTACAGCGTCCTTCACCCGAGAGTTGCAGCACGGACATGTTAGACGTGCCTGGAGGGGGGAAGAGAACAATTAACTGAGAGGCCAGTTTTGTCCTCAGCTGAATGGTTGGTAATGAGTGGACACAAATATCTAGGGCAGCAGGGAGGCCGTGTGATTATAGAGACTCCACCTCAGGCTCAATTGTCCTCATCCAGAAAACTCGTGAGGAACACACCACATGATACGAAGGCCAATTATAAAACCTGATGTGACCATGACAAATTTTGTAAATACAGGGGGTTTATCACCAAAGTGTCTAGATTCATCACGATTATATTAAACTGTTTAGTTTATAAATTTATCGCAAACCTGGAAAAATCTGAGGATGCTCCCAACGTGTGATGTTCAGTCTCCACCAGTTGGTTGAAACTTTAAGTGTTTAACTGTGTTCTTGTCAAAAGAGTGTGATCACACTGGCAGTTGGGCTCATTTAGTGGAAACCAGAGTGATGAAGATAACTTTAGTTTAACTGCCCCCACTTCTAAGACAAACAGACCCTCAAGACTCTTGTTAATTCCATTCCCTGTGGCATAATTTACATATAACTGCACATAATCTCAGGTGTTCTTATCAAGGAAATGAGGGTGAGGCTACATCCACACTACTGGGTTTTCATTTTAAAAGGAAAACTACATGACTATTCACGTACACTGAGCGTGCGAGAGCTGGTGCAAACAGGACGCAGATTGTCTCTCACTCTGCAGTTGATTAGTCGCACAAAATACTACTCACGAGAAACAGCAAAGGCAGTTGTAGTGTTAAAATACAGAATTAAACCAAACAGCTACTAACAAAGACAACAAGGTCTAAGACTTGTAATTCATTATTCATGTTGCTTTCAGCAATGGTAATTGTAGCTGATAAGACCCAATCAGGGAGTGACCACCGGTATCTACGTAATAGTTTCCAAAGGTGTCTGTTTTTGCCTGTCAACACTACAATGCAACCCTGGAGTTTTCAACCCAACAAGGGGCCAGCAGCAAGTCCAAAACTCTCTGTTTTCAGGGGTTCGAAAACTCCGGAGAAGTGTGGACAGCAGGAGGAAATGCAGCAAAAGAGATGTGTTTTAAAACAAAAATGTAGTCATGTGGATGCAGAGTTCATACTGTTTCATGGCCCTCAGATCATTGTTCGATGCTAGCATTCCAAGCTAACTGCTGGTTATCCAAGGAAATGTTTGACACTTTTCGGAAATGCACATATTCGTTTTCTTAAAGCAGAAGCTAGATGAGAAGATGATGAACACTGTCACACCTTTAAGGTAAAGGTGAAGTTACAAGAACGAATGGGTTAGGCCATTAGCTCAGCACAAAGACTGGAAACAGCGGACCTGGAGCAGGATCATTGAAAATAGAAAGTTTAAAAAAAAATTTTGTATCACCAACACCTACCTTGTATTCATTAATTTCTTCATTAAGGATCTCATCCCCATTGCTGATTTTCTCAGCTGGTTTCTTGGCCTTCTCGATCTTTCTCCTAAGTTTGGAGATGTCCTCCTGAAACACATTAAGAGTTAACAGCTGTAAGTAAAAGGAGCCTGTCTTCCACATTTTACTTTCATTTGACAACTGACTTCATGAATGCAATAATCTAGATGTTAATATTTGAGTCTGCGACATCTGAGCACAACATGAAACCAACAAGGGTTAGCCTGAAAGTGGAAATGTTAGTGATGTGGAACCTTTTCACCATTTCAGCAGAGGACAACAAAATTGAAACTGGCAATAACTATTAAGCTCACACGCAGTGAGGAGGAAACAAAGGGTCTCAATCCACAAATCTAATTTGCCATTAGAAAATATGCAGTGAAAGAGAGTCATAGGAAGAGTCATGCCAAGTCGTATGACCAAAAGAATTGATTTGTTTTTCTGTGTTAAAATTTTTTTTCTTATCATCAATATGCTTTAAGCCATCAGAAACAACCTCGGTGGATATAACTCTGATTGAAGCACATTTCACCTTTTAAAATAAATATTTAACATTTATGGCTTGAGCTTATTTGTGGCCACTTATTAATTTGTGTGTGTTGTTACCTGTGCTCGTCGGGCGTTGAAGGACTCTTTCTCCCTGGAGATACTGTTTTCAATGACCTCCTCTCTGACCATGCTGAGCCTCTGCTGAACCTGCTCCAGCTGAGTTCGCACCTCCTCCGACAGCAATGCAGAGTCCTGAGCCTGGAGGACGAAAGACATGGCTTTATTCATCCTCAGTTGGAATGTCGTTTCCTCTCACACTGTACAACCCTTCATATGTTGTTTTAACAGCTCACCGTTTTTTGGGATTGAATTTACCCTGCAGCTGTGGCTCATCATAACTGAACCATGTGTTACCTTGCGTTTGTTCATGTCCAAGGCTTGTGTTCGAAGTGCCAGCTCTCTCTCTGCAGTGCTGATGGTGCCCTGCAGGAGGCGCTCCTTTTCTTCAAGCTTCCTCACCACCTGCAGCTGGGCATCGACCTGTACGTGGACACAACATTATGTAAAATGAAGATTAAACAAAACAAAAAAAATAAAAACACATCCAAACACACATTAGAAGAGAGAAAACTGAGTTAGTCCATAAGAAAGTAAGAAATGACAGCCAGTAGTTATCACTGTAATTTGTTTGTCCCAATCCTTACAAGACTGCACCTTATGGAGTTGCCTGGTGCCTGACCTGAGTTTTTAAAGTGAGCAGCTGGTCGGCCAGCTCTTCCTTCTCCTCTTTTAGCAGCTTGTGGATCTGGTTGGACTTGATCCTCTCGCTCATCAGCTTGAAGTTTGCATCGTCTTTTTCTCTGAGCTGCTGCATCAGGCGGATGTTCTGTTCCTGCATGTCTTCGAAGGCCTGGCCCGTCACGTCCATCTCGCTCAGCAGTGCGTCCTCCTCCTGCAGAGAGAGCACGGGGGCGAGAGAGTGTTACAGAACGAAAGAAGAAGCAGGCAGAGGGTCTTTGTGCCTTGCAAAGAAAACGACCACCTCACGCACCTGTTTGGCTATGGAGAGCTTTTTGTTGAGGATGTCGATCTGCTCCTCCACAGACCGGATCTTCCTCAGTGCCTCTTCATCTGCCATTTTCTTGCCCTCCCTCCTCTCCCGCTCCTCAAGCTCCCTCAGCCTCTGCCGCAGCTCCTCTCCCTTGGATCAGTAAAATTTTCATTGTCATCATCATTAGGAATGCTGCAATTAATCAATTACAGTAGACAATTCTATCTTGCCAAATGTTGCTCACCTAAAAATAATAAATTCCAGTTGGAAAATCCAGTACAAATATGCATATATCATGTTATAAATGCTGTACAGGAATGAATTTGTGACCCACCAAAACTAATTGTCGACTATTTCAACAATATGTCTGTTTGTCGGTGACTGTGTTGTGCAGTGTCAATCACCTCTGACTTGGCCTTTTTCTCTGCAGCCATGAGCTGGACTTTGTCCCTCTGCTCCTTGGGTGCCGAGCGGTACATGTCCAACAGCAGCTTCATTTCCCTCTGGGACTCCTGTGCTTTCCTGCACATCCAAAATCATCAACATCCAAGGTCCAAAATCAACAAGAACTCTGAATAAAGCCTGTTATGTTTTTAAAATTAACATGGATTAAAACAATAATAATAATTAATAATAATTCACCTGCAAATAGGCAAAGCAAATATATGATGTTTAAATCAAATCTCCCAACATCCACTTAAAATTCCGATCAAGGGGCAAAAAATAGCAGATTTCGAAGAAGAAGAAAATTTATTCACCTTATGACAAGCTAGGTGTGGGTGAAACAAATATCATCTGATATTTTGATGGTATCTATTTATCACAATATTTTTCAGCTTTTATAATTTCTTTGTGATGTGCAGTTTTAGTTTATATACTTTTATGTAGTGATGACAAAAAACTGAATAACCCAGCATGGTTGAATGCTGACGTCAGTCCCAGTAACCAACAGTTCACCCAATTCTTCCTCATCTATCTGGTAGTTTAAATAATTTGCATCATATAAAATAAAAACCAACTTCCACACAATGCGACTTACTTGAGTTCTGCTCGGACAATCTTCAGCTGCTCCATCTCCTTCCTCTTTGACCCACCGACCATAGACAAGCGCTCCCCGGCTGACTCGTCAGGTTGGCTACTGCTCCCTGGCTTCTCCTTCTCTTCCTTTATCACGCTGCTGCTGCTCCCACTGCTGCGGGTCGGTCTCTCTCTCTCCTTTTCCTTCTCTTTCTCTCGCTCTCTGTCTTTCTCCTCTTTCTTTATAATGTCCTTATCTTTCTTTTCCTCCTTCTCCTTCCTCTCGTCTTTCTCCTCATCTTTTATCGTTGCCTCTGGTTCCACTCCAGGCTCTGTTTTCACTGAGGCACCTGCAGAAAGACGAGGAAACATGGTGAAGAAGGAATTGTCAACCAGGACAGTCTTAATATGGATCATAAGAACAATGTGAGATATGCAAAAATGTCATTTACACTATTCATAACATAATAAAATAGGAAATAAGCTTTTATGGTCAGTTAACAAGGTGTTAGTTACCAGTGCTGCTGGGTGTCGAGGAGCCGTTGTCAGGCTCTGTCTTAACCACAGGTTCTCCAGAGACGGCTGGGGTCGAAGGAGAGGATGTCTCATCCTTCACGTCCATCTCTGTGCTTGACTGTGATTGGAGGATGGCGTTGCCCTTTGAAGCTCGGACCTACAGAGGTAACAAGATACATGTGATGACTTTTAGGGTGGCAAGCTACCGTTATCTGCTTCTCAATTTCCAATCGATTATAACACATATCTGTGTGTTACTATTTAAGTAACACAAAGATTCTTGTGCATGAGTTTCTTTCCTTCTCCTTCTGACCCACCTGGTTCAGTTCAGCTTGTGTCTCTCTCAGCCTAATCTTGTATTTCACTACCTCTCCTTTCATCTGCTGGTTGTGGGTTTGCAGTGTACTAATCAAGTGCCGCATCTCCCTGTTAATAGGACCTGAGACGAGGAGGCAGTCAGAGGTATAAAAGAAAGTGAGGGAGAAAGATAAAACACACATAAGTACTTTTTTGTGTGAGGGAATCTGATGTGATCAAAGCTCTACTGTACTATATAAACTACAACCTGTTAGTTACCTGCTTGCTCGTTGGCAGCAAGAGTCTGTTCAAACTCGATGCGCAACATCTCGTACTCCTTCCTGACCTGAGCCAGTGTGTCCTCCAGCTGAAACACCTCTGTACGAACCTTCCTCTGCAGAGCCACCTCATCATTCTGCACACAGAGGGGAAAGTGAGTGTAAGATGGGAATGAAGGTTACACAGACTGACACCGGCACAAACACACACAGCTTACCTCCATGTGCTCCAGCTGACGAAGGCGTGCCGTCCTGGTAGTGCCGAGGCGAGCGCGTGTCTCGTCTAATTGAGCCTTGAGGATCAGAGACTCGTTGTAGAGGACAGAGAACTGCGACTGCAGACAGCGATACTCTGAAGTCTCTTTCACCATGCCCTCTGCTCTACTCATCAGCTCCGCCTGAGGCGAACAAAGAGAAAGGAAGGAAATAGAGGCGGAGACAGTGGCCAAAAAGAAAAAAGCACAAAACAGAAAAAATGTTTAATACAGTAAAGTGCTGAATAATTATCTTTTTTTCCCAGAAGTGCAAGGCTCATTTTAGGTGAAAATTTACACTGAATGTTTTTTTCCAGAACACTCATTTTTAAGTTGACTCATTTTGATTTTGCTTCCATTAAAATATTTATATATTTAATATTTTTTTAATCATGGTAGTAAATTAACATCCTTTGGTTCAGTGACAGTGAAATAAGCAGCCATAATTCTAAATGCACTGCAATCCATGAGTGATACATTTTCAGCTTCCAAACACTTGAGACAAATCAATGGTGTGTGATAACTGTGATAAGTACCTTCATGCTGTTGTTTTCCTGGTGAACATTTTGCAGGTCCTGCTGGAGCTTCTGCAGCTCAGTCAGACGGTTGTCTGCCAGCTCCCGGTTCTCCTCCAACTCGCTGTTCATTTCCTCAAACTTTTTGTCAGGACAGAAGAGGAAAAAGTATAGAATGAAAGGTATGGAATGAAGCAAAAACAAAAACAAAAAAATCAAGAATTTAACAAAAAAAATTTAAATACACAAAAATAAATAAATAAATAAAATCGATACAAAACCAAACAGGTCCTAACCTTTCTCTTGTTAATGGTAATGGTCCCACATACACTGCTGGCCTCCCCACACACCTTGTAGCCTTTGCTGTTCACCTGGGGTGCACAAGGAGTGTTATAACATACTTCAACATAAACAAACATTCATTTTATACTGACACAACACCAATTGACTTAAACTCCAACACAAATCCACATCATCCTCACCCTCTCCAGTATCTCAATCAGGTGGGCATTCAGTCGGTTTTCTCGGCGGCGGATCTTCTCCATGTCCCACTGAAGCTCCTCGATCAGAACCTGCAGTTCGTTCACACGCTGGTCTGCTTTGTTAGCTGCACGACCCAGAGACCGGGACTGGAAAAGACAGGAGGACAAAGAAACTGTTACTGGAGCTAATGAGAGACAGAAAACCCAAATTAAAGTAAAAAGGTTTGGTTTATGTCACTTACAATCAGATTTAGTTGATAACCTATTTGGCATTTTTTAACTGTTAAGGTGTGCCTGACCTGAGGGGCAGCATTTTGCGACAAAGAATAAAGAAGAACATATATATGTATATACATCTGTACCTCGCTCGTCATGTGACTGTACTTCTGCTTGAGGTCCTCAGTCAGCTGTAGCAGCCGCTCATTTTCACTGGTCAGGAGCACATTCAGTTTTGAAGCTACCTGCCACAACTTGCCCTCTGGAAAGAAAAGCAACAATGATTTCGCATTTAATGAGTGCAAACACATAAACTGACTTGATGAATTTCTTTCAAATACATTTCATCCTCAGCTTTACTCCATTACCACAATGTCATCATGTCCCCAAATCTTTTATCTCACCAGCTCCAGGGTCCACTTCTGTCTTCAGCTGGTCCACGGTGCGCCTCAGACACTCACAGATCTCCACCACACGATTGGCCTGTTTCTGGCTGGACTCCACTCTCACCTGAAGCTCAGCCTCCATCTCCTCGCTGCTGCTACTCGCCAGCGTGGCCAGGAAGGAGTTTGACGTCTCTCCCTGGTGGCCTGGGTGACAACAGAAGGAAAGAGGGCATCTCTAGTTTATCAATCAGTTATCTGAAGGTTTTTGCTTTCAAAGTCATGATTCTGTGTCAGTTCTGTTTTAACCTCTGTCCTTGGCCCTCTCCTGATTGGAGTCGCCATCAGGTTCTGGTGTTTCTGGCTTCAGGCTCCGTCCTTCACCTGCTGGAGATTTCTCAGGTTCGCTGCTTGCTTGATCATAACGCCTGATGATCAGTTGGACGTTTTCATCAAACTGAAGGAGAGAAAATGACATAAGACATCAGCTTTTTGATCTTGTCGAAGAGGAGACTATTAATGTAATTGCGCCAGACTCTAAACTCCACCAGTGAGTGTCTACCTGGTTCCAGTATCTATTGAGGATCAGCAGACTGGCATCATCAGTGGCCTGGCGGGTCTCCAGTCTCTCAATTCTCTCTCGCAACTCATCCTCGATCACCTGCAAGACAAAAAGCCAAGACTTTAACTTTCCTCAAAGCAAGAGGGATGCAAGTGCGGCTTCTAGTGAGATTTGTGGACACATACTGGAGAATTCATTTACCTGTCTTTGATCAAGAGCTTCTCCCAACTTTCGATTCTTAGCCTGGAGAGCTTTGATGTCTTGTTCTTCCTGAAAAAGAATCGATTCAAGTTTGAGAATGAAACGTAGGAGCAGCCAAACCAAGAGACATTACACTCCTGAGATTAATGTTAAATTGGCAGCATGGTGGATAATAAAGAGTAACTCACTGAGTTAGACACCCCTCCCAGTTTGATGACCGTCTCCACCGCGGTGCTCCCCCCGGCAGCGGCGCTGACACCGGGACCTCCGTCCTCTCCTTCCCTCTCCCTCCGCTTCTCTGAGGGTGCACCGGAGGACGAGGGGCCGCCGCTGGGGTCAGCAGGACGCTTCTGTCCCGACATCCTCAGACTCCTGAATCAAACGGAGACTTTAGAAAGAGTAGAACGTGACTTTTAATAGCTAGCGTTAAACCCAGGCGGTTTGAAAGACAAAGCTAACTACCGTCTGCTGGGCATACAACACGCTAAAGGCCAAAGACAGCTGCTTTAATATTTATTCGGAAACCTTATTACCCCTAGAGGTGAGTAGTCCAAAGAAATATCCCCAAAACGACCCACTGTCACATTTTAAAACACAACAAGCTGATTAAAACAGCAAATGTAACGGCAGGCTAACGTTAGCCGTTTGCTAACGCTAGCTTTAAATGCTGTTGATGCTCAGGGAAACCCGATTCTGACCCGACACATCGATGCATTTACTTTGTAATGTTGTCAGCAACAACCACATCGACCCGAAGTCTTACCGCTTTTAATGTTAAGAGTTTTGTGTTACTGAGTGAATCTGTCGGTGGATGTTGATGTTGCGGCTCCTTGCCTCTCGGAAACGGAAGCGTCGACGATCTAAGTGGGACAACCTTCAGCTGACTCAACGCCCCCTGTTGACGTGGAGGGGAACAATCAACATATATTCATCCATCCAGTTTGGAGGCCAGAAGTTTGCTGCTGGGGCCTCTGGTATAACCAAGTTCACATCTAGCAGAGTGCAAGTATACAGCAAATTATAGATAGAAGATTTATTTTATTTTGCACAGACAAACCAATTGGCACTTCTATACTGGAGTACTACCGTGAGCCCTGCTTTACTGTTAGTCAGATGGGTTGTGGTGATTTGATGAAACACAACTTAATCAGGGGAATACACCATTGGAGAGCAATATAAACTAAAAAATATATAGTAAACTAGCAGGAGTTAGAAATAGATGTTAACATTCCCTGTACAAAATGGGGTCACGGTATCACAATGATGCAGGAACCACTCAATATTGTATTTCAATGGTGCATATTCACAAACAAATTTGCAAATAATCAAACCACCAAAAAGCAACTGATGCACAGTGACATACACCCTGGAGGTCAGTTGTCTTCTTTGTGCTGTTGTTGATCCCGCCCTACGGTAGCCTATAAGAGTGCAGTCCAATAATATAAATGTAGCCTACTAATTCCAAAACACTGAGTTATAATCCAAGAAACTGAAAAGCATGCAGCTAAATTAAGATTTCCATTTGCAATGCGTATGGATGATTTCCCTCTGTCAAAACTACTAAAATAATTCAGAAATGTCTTAATCTAAGCAACATGGAATAGAGATACTTTGTGTGCTGCAGTGCTGTATTGAAACCCACACATATCCATGGATCTATGGAAGTTGCCATGCTTGGGGATATTGCAGCAACTATCAGGCAACCAAAATAACCAAACTGTAATAATTTGGTTTAGGGGTAAGCAAAGATTTCTGGACAACATTTTGCACTCTCCAGCTCGCTTATTCGCTCTCTCTCTCTCTATCTCTCTATCTCTCTCTTTCTATCTCTCTCTCTCTCAATCCTTATGTAAAAAGAGACTCATGGACAGCGACTGAACTCTGATCAGCAGTATTAAAGAGTACACTGCACCCGGTGCAGAGTCCAGGTTGTGTAAAAACAGACTTGCCATCGTTTGTGAGTTACCCCAGCCTGTGGGTTGAAATATCCCTATCTGCTGAGGTCACTCATGGACTGATGTTTTTTGGTCCATTTTCAGCAATCGATTTTAGAACTGTTTCTGCATGACGTGTTTGACAAGTGATGTGACGCATAAGGCAGATAAACAAGGGAGCATGAAAAAGCAGGTTTTTCTCCAGTTCTAGTTAATGGCAAATCATTTGTATCCAATAAATGAAACCATGCAACATGGTCCTATAGTAGTGTGATGAAACTATATAGAGAATAGCACTCCATATTACTGCATAAAATCTCAAATAAAGATCAAGTAAAACAATTATGATGGCAATTACAATAACATAAAAAAGTTCATAAATGGCCTACAATGTAGACAAGCCTTATCAGAACTAGATACATCTCCCATCAAAAATTACACTAATTTGTTTATTTGCCCTGGTAACAATCAAACAAACGGAATCCAAATAAGTCTCAAAGTTCATATGCAGGGACTACATACATGATGAACAGATTACCTCTACCTAAATTATATAAAACAAATCCTCACTGTTAAAATATGTGTTTTTATCTGAAAGAAGAAATTACAACACAGAGTTTAAAGTCTCCGAGGTAAGATGTAACCAAATGAAGAAGAGTAGAAGAAGAGTTCCATAATTTAGGGCCCCAGTACTCAACTGAAAATTGATCTCTACTTGTAAGATGTTTGGGAAGAATAACAGGAAGGAATCTGTGAGTACTCCCTGATCACATAAACACACATTGTTATATGCTGTTGTAATCCAAACTTTCACCAGGACAAAAGAAACCTGACTTACAACATTGCAGCAGGCCTCTCACATTACATTTCACCATTTCTCAAAGTGCTGCAACAGTTTGCATGGAGGCGGAGCTGTGGCAGAGCTGTGTGATGCGTGCTCGCATGCAGACTTCGACTTCATAACTTGTTTCAGACGACACATTGTGTTCCCAGCATGCAACCCCCCCCCCCGGCAGCACTGGGTTCTGATATGAACTTAAAGTCCACAAAAGAGCACATTGATGCCACAGCGTGCAAACACCGCCCCTGTCTGTCTGACCGGGCCAATTGCGTTACCGAGGTGACACACGCCCCGCCACATCACGAGCACCTCCCTCCTCAACCTCAAACACGCAATAAATACAGCTTTGTGCCCAGATTTCGGTCTTCTCACTCAGTTACTGCTGGGAGGTCGCAGAGGACCGTTTGACATTTGCGCCGTCGTCGCTGTTTGATTATAAATCTCAAGTAAGACGTGCTTTCAACTTTTTAACTCTTGCTTATATGAACTTCGCAGATTTCCATGTTTTTTTTTTTTCATCTACACTAGTTCCTGCAAGATCGGTCTGCATCTCTGGGTTTCCTCATGTCTCTAAATGTGCAGCCATGAAACTGACGTTGCAGACAGGGATTTAAGATGCGCGTTTTGTGTAGCATGCAGTTTCTAGAACCGGATAAACGGGTCGTAAATTCTATATCCTCGAGTTCCATGGATAAATTGGGATGCTCAAACAAAGTTTGAAACGGCTGTATGTTTAAGATGGACGTGTGTTGTCTTGTCTAAGGTTGCCAGCGTGCCTTTGCTGTGTGCAAATCCTTGTAATGAAACGAACACACGCCTTCAACCTGTTGTTTATTAATGCATGTTTGTAAATTATGCTCAAAATCTTAATTTTCCACTGGGAAAACCTCATGTAGTCAACGACTTTAAATGAACTGTGAACTTGTGTTGCACATCAAGAGGCAGAACTTATCTGTGTGAAGGCCAAAGTTCAGCTATGTAAGCCAAATATTTACAGTGGTGATGCAAGAGAAGCAGAATGTCAAGTTCATTTAAAAAAAAAAAAAAAAAAAAAAAATCTATTTATTTTTGATGGAGGGGGAAAAAAGGATCAAATCTTCCTCATACTACAGTCTTAGAGTTTCTGAAGACCTGTCAGTGAAATAACTTGTTTCTCTCTTCTAGGATGACTCATCAGTTCCCATCCCTCTCTCCGGAGCAGAAGAAGGAGCTCTCTGACATTGCTCAGAGGATCGTGGCTCCAGGAAAGGGAATCCTGGCTGCAGATGAGTCAACAGGTGAGCCTCAAGTTCAAGTCAGTTTTCTGCATTGAGAGGTGACCGCAGAGTGGGCTTTCTGATATGACCTCCATGTCCTCTTCTTTTAAGGCACCATGGGAAAGCGCCTGCAGAAAATCAACGTGGAGAACAACGAGGAGAACCGCCGCTGCTTCCGTGAGCTCCTCTTCTCCTCTGACGCCTCCATGTCCAACTGTGTGGGTGGGGTCATCTTCTTCCACGAGACGCTCTACCAGAAATCAGATAGCGGCAAGCTCTTCCCCCAGGTCATCAAGGATAAGGGCATTGTTGTCGGCATCAAGGTGAGGAGCCTACAGAGACTGAGGCCGAGGTTAAATTTTCTGGTCTTTCACATTTGGAGCTGTTTTAGAGTTTAATGGACGTGTTTGGTTTTCTTTCTTCAGGTGGACAAAGGCACAGCTGGTCTGAACGGAACAGATGGAGAGACCACCACACAAGGTAAAATGGATTAAAGATTGTTTTTTCTACTTGTTTTACTTCTGCCAATATTAGCCCCTCAATTGGAACCTTTCTATGGAACATTAGTGCACTGGCATATTTCATTAAAAGCAACTCGGATTAAAGAGGTTGACAAAGCTACGAGACTGAGGGACGGTCTAGACTGCTCAGATTTGTAGTGATGTGGGAAAAACAATAAACTAACTGTAAACCTGCTATCATAGCATACCAACACTCAGTAACTGGGTATTCCTTACAGGTCTGGATGGCCTCTCGGAGCGGTGTGCCCAGTATAAGAAGGATGGATGTGACTTTGCCAAGTGGAGGTGTGTGCTGAAGATCTCAGATGGCTGCCCATCAGCTCTCGCCATTGCAGAGAACGCTAATGTCCTTGCCAGATATGCCAGTATCTGCCAACAGGTGTGTGTGTGTTTGTATAGCTCTAATTTTCCACAGAAATGACAAGAGGAATTCAACTTGGTGAGTGTGTTTGTTTGTGAGGCTCTCATTTTGACGTGACATTCATGTGCTCAATCAGAATGGCCTGGTGCCCATTGTGGAGCCAGAGATCCTGCCTGATGGAACCCACGACCTGCAGCGCTGCCAGTATATCACAGAGAAGGTTGGTTCACTATCTCTGGTTTATTTAGCCAAATAGAAGACCACCAGCAGTAACATGTTGTTCCCATCGGATGAGATTTTTAAAGCATGGTGTAGTAATAAATCTGCCTTATCAACAGGTTCTGGCTGCTGTGTACAAGGCTCTGTCTGATCACCATGTGTACCTGGAGGGCACTCTGCTGAAGCCCAACATGGTCACAGCTGGACACTCCTGCACCACAAAGTACACCCCTCAGCAGGTTGGCATGGCCACAGTGACTGCTCTGAGGCGCACTGTCCCCGCTGCTGTGCCAGGTGAGTGTCATAAGGCCAGCTTTTTCCTCTACAAACCAGTTTAAGAGAAGCACGACAAACCAGTTTCTCAGTAAAAGAAGTACATGTAGCGTTCTCTGCTCTGTGTCTTTCCAGGCATCTGCTTTCTGTCTGGAGGCCAGAGTGAGGAGGAGGCCTCCCTCAATCTGAACGCCATCAACCAGGTGCCCCTCCATCGCCCCTGGAAGCTGACCTTCTCTTACGGCCGCGCACTCCAGGCCTCTGCTCTCGCAGCCTGGCAGGGCAAAGCTGCCAACAAGGCAGCTGCACAGCAGGCTTTCTGCAACAGAGCCAAGGTAAGCCTCAGAGGGCATGTGTGGCTGTTTCTAATGAATAGACACCAACAAATAATTCTCACTTATCAATTTGTAGTTGTGGACTGTGCACAGAACCGTCTATTAAATGCCTCTTATCTTGCATTACTCAACTTTACACTCTGTGAATGTAAATGATTGATTTTAAATGTTTTTGTCTGTTCAGTCTTGCACTAATGTGGTGCAGGTAACTTGGCTGATTATTAACACTCAGATTTGACTTTGCCCTAACTTTTCCCCTCTGTTGCTCTCTTCAGATCAATGGCCTGGCTGCCAAAGGAGAGTACAAGCCCACCGGCTCAGCTGACCAGGCCTCTATGCAATCTCTGTACACAGCCAGCTATGTCTATTAAATACTGTGAACATTAAAAACCCCTCCAAAAAATGCACCTGGACCAAATGTAACTACAAGAATTACCTCTGCATTTCTTGTATGATTTCCTTCCTCCCTGTACCACCAACACCAGGGGAAGACTTCTGTGATAATGTTGAACTACTGTTTGTCTACTCAGTGAAATGACTGGAAATAAATTAAGATGCCAAAATGATGTTGGTTTCATGGCAGTTTTTGTGATTATTTTTTTTGCATCTGAGAGCATGACACCACTCCAGCCAGAGATGTATTGCCAGTACATGCAGTAATCAAGGACACATCACACACGGCTGTGCAACTCATCCAAATTGACCTTGACCATACTTACCTGTATGCCCAGCTCACAGCAGTAGGTGATCCCTCTTTCCAACAACAGATGACATGTCTGTGCACACAGAGGTTAAAATCACCAGTATGCCCTATACCACCTGATACAAAATGCATTTGACCTGTGCTGAGTCATGTTTACTGAGTATCACAAAAACAGTCTTAAAAATGGAGCTGGGTTAATGCCCATGTGCCTACACAACAGTTGTGGGGAAATACTGAAAGTATTTAAAGACACACTCCAGTGATAAGAAGTGAAAACCAAAGGACTGGATCCTGGTCTAAAACAAACTAAACCTAAGCAATGTTTCTGATGCTAATGAGTTTGCTAATGCAAAAATGCAAATTTTTCATTTGTAAGTCGAACTATTCAAATATACATATTTTTAATAAACCTACAGTTTTAATGACCAGCAGAATTAATGGTTTGGCCTCTGAGTAAATTAATATCTCACCATAAAGACAAGAGGTTGTGTGATCTGATTATTTGATGGCTAACTCGAGAAGCGGTCAAAGTGTACCTGCAGGTACCAACTACTGAGACAGTCTGCCATTTAATAACCTAGAGTACACTGTCTGTGTGGTCTGACTTGTGCATACAGTTTGTATGAGTGCTGTCAGTGCACGAAGATTTATATGTGGGTAATTTTATGACCATCATTTCATTTTATTGATTATTTAAGAAACACAACATACATCACATTGGTTACATCAAATATAGCTAAAAGCTAAAGCTGGATCTTTGAAAAGTGGTTTCTGTCTCAATTTGTTTTTCACACATTCACAGGCAAAAGATGGCAACAGGTTTCCAGGCGGGCCCTTCATATCATAGTCATGTAGATGACCACGCGGAATTATATAAACATGCACATCAGGCCAAAAGCTTAGCTATGAATATACCAGATAGATATAACCTAATGTGTCAAAAAATATGTTTTTTAGAATTTTGCTGAAGTAGCAGTCACAGGTGGATGTGCAGTCCTGTAACCAAAACAGAGCCACATCAGCTCATTCATCCAAAGTCACAGTGTAAAATATCTTCAGCTAGATGTGCAGTACACAGATGATCACACTGATGATTAAAGCTGCAAGCACAATTTATACCACAGTATAAGCTCTGCCCAAACAATGTACATATACTGTAATAATTATGCAGATGATCAGAATTATTGACTACACAAATCCAAGTTTTACAGTGTCCACAATGTATCATTGAAATTTTGGTGGGTATGTTTAGATTAAAAACTGTCATGGCTGCATTTCCTGTGGGTTGGGGGATTGTGGAGCAGATGCAAATAGTACTTCTAATTTATTTTAATGTAAATTTAGGATAATCTTCTGCCTGACTTTAGTGTTACCTAACATGTTCATTAGTGTTTGTAAAATATAGTATATTAAGATTAGGCGAAATAACATTGTGCGAGACCTGTTAGCCTTGAGGCTTTAATTCAGTCTAATGTGCACTGTGAATAATGTAATATAACCTTGTGTCAACTATGACCTATACATTAAGTACACATAAGCTTTGCTAGAGATATTAGTGGTTACTATGTTCCCTTAATAAGTGCATGTAAAATATCTATCTCAAATGGGATGACAGAAATCCCTTTCATTCCCAAACAACCTTTGCAAAAAGCAAACAGTGCATTACAATATTACTGTACCGTTGAGCTGTGCCTTTAATAAAGACTGAATAAATATTGTAGTTACAGACACTGTAGAGAGAAGCTTAGTGTAGAAGTACGGTAACTATAAAAAAGCTGGCTGTAAGATACTGCCAGTAGGTGGTGCAACATTCACTTGTAATGTACTGCACAGGATTGTGACATGTTTCTTTCACAGGATAGGTGAACAGCAAGAAAACAAGTGGTGCTTATTGTAGAAAGAAAACTGAAAAGACTGATCTTAGTTTGATGTTGCGTCACTCTGTGGTGGTGCTGGGATGTGCTGGACAATAACCTGTTGAAGATATTGAGGTGGAGGCCGATTAGGGACGAGGGAAACAAGAAGGCAATAAAATGATGACTGACACAAAAGCCGGTGAGTGATGGTATTTATCAGATATCACTGTGACAAATGACATTGGGATTTCTTTGGTTCTATTAGTTTTGATTTAGTCTTCTCTTGTTCAAGAGGATCTGTCTTCATTCACTTATTCTTTGTACATTTGTGTATGTTGTCTGGAACTTCTATGCTGGTCGGAAGAAATATCTCCCTTCAGTGGGTTAAATTTAAATTATGAATTCCTTATGTCAGTGGGAAATGCCTGTTTTAGATGAAGTAACAGTAAAAAATGTATTACCTGAGTTCGTGTGGATTTCAGTGCTAAACGAGCAACGGCACACAAGAAGATGAGAAGCACTGACACACATAGAGAGGAAGTGAACAGTAAGCCTTCAACACCAAAAAGTTGTTCCTAATGCAATAGAAAGGGAAAGAAGGAGTTATTCATACTCTGTGAAAATGTCTGTGTCATCTATTTAAAAAAAATAAAATTCTATAACTCACCACTCTGTTGGTGGCCCAGTCCTGCTCCTTGTCGTATTTTGCCTTGCTGCTCATAAAAAGATAAGTGGCGAAGCAGTTTATCCTGTAGCAACTAGAGACTACGATTCCCAAGATTGAAATCACATACATGGCCAAACACAGAGTCACCTGGGAAAGATGAGTTCAACAAGTTTAATTAGGTCATTGAGAAGGAACTAAATACAATTAAAAACTACAAATAGAACATAAAATCACAGAGATGCCTACCATCTTCTTGGATGGATGGATCTCAGTGTAGATAGACAGGTTTCCACAGATGAGAAACTTTAAAAAAAACAACCAGAAACAGATAATCACACCATTTTCTTCTGTTATTCAATATAAGTATATTTTGATGACTGTATGTGGCATTAACCAGCTTTGTTCTCTTGTCATGTTTCTCACCACGGATGCAAAGCTCCTCTGTACTGGAATGCAAAGTTTAAAGTAATTCGATAAAGTCTACATAATCGCCCACTCCTCTGAACTTTAAAACTGATTTTTAATATAACAGGTTTGTTAAAATATAAATGACTTGAGCCTAAGTGAACATGACTTAGAGGAATAGTTTGGGGGGGGGGGCAACTACTGTGGCTTTTTCTGAAGTTAATAAAACCCACCCACCAGCACCTCTAAGGCTCACTCATAAAGACTTTTCATCTCATTTGTTTAACCACAAAAAATTAAGTGTAATACATTATGGTTTTAAGGATAGTTGTTTGTTGGACTATTTAATAACTTAATGAAGTTTTGCCATCATTGTGAAGTTGCCAGGCAACCAGCAGAGATTAAACAAAGATCAATTAGTGATCTCTATAGGTGCTGTAGGCAGATTTTTTTAATCTTTTCACTGACCCTGGCTAAAGGTTTCCTCCTGTTTCCAGATGTTATTCTAAGCTAAGTGGCTGCTGGTTATTGCTCGATATTTACAATTCAGAGATGAGAGAAGCAAGAAAACATTTTCCCCAATATGTCAAACTATTCCATCAAGTTCTAACACAGATTTTTCAGGGGATTTTGAGTGCCGTGCTGTGACTCTACATTGTCATTTGTAATTAGTGAACATACAACCAACCAAGTACAAGTACAATTTCTCCATTTTCAGCATGTCATTGCTAACCGCCAAGATGTTACGTACCAGAGCTCCCTGCCACAACGGGATGTAGATTCCACAAGAGGTTTGCATGCTTTCACTGGCCAGCTGGAATCCCATCAGGAGCTCTGCACAGCCAAAGATCAGAATGACAATCTAGGAAGGAGGAGAGGAGGTATGCATGGCCATTTTGCAGCCGTTCTTTCTGTATACATAAATTTCTCTACTCTTATCTCACATTTGTGGCATTGTTTGATGTGTTACCCCAAGATTTCTGGGCTCTCTCTGGATGAAGCGATGCAGAGGCTTGCTGGACATCAGCACAGCATGGTCTGCCTCCTGAGTCCCATCTTGTCCTGTTGTTGTCTCTCTACTTGTTGGCTCAGTGTCCTCCATTGCCAGTAAACTATACGCTGTGTTTTGCTGTGACAAGAGAGAACAAGAATTCATCGAACCAGATTAATATTCTCTTCTACTACAGATTAAAAGAGCCAGAATAGTTGTGATGAAGCAGCGTGACTCCAGATACCAGCTGCATGCAAAAAGTAGTTTAAAAGAATGCAAGGATCTGTACAAAAACAGTGACCCACCTTGTTTTAGTTTTTCATGCAGAGAAGTAGTGTAAAAGATAATGGAAAGAGAATGTTGTGGGTGGGAAAAGGAAGTTAGGAAATTTGAGACTTTTTTTCTTTTTTTCATTGTGGGGAGGAGCTGAACACTTTGTTTGGAAGTTGCAGACTGAGGATGTTGGACAGCAGGCTACAATGTCCACTTAGTTATTGAATCAAAGTTAAATCCCACTGAGATCTGTGTGGAAATCCAGGGACAGGAAGACTGCTCTGATGTCAAATGGCAATATCAAAACAGTTAAATATGGTCAAAACCATCTCTGCTGAAATGAATTGAATCCCTGTAGTAAAGAAGATTTGAAATTTAAAGTACTTTTCATTGAAGTGAATGCAAAAGCCAACTATTGACATAATGTGAACAAATCTTCCTGGTGAAGCTAGTGCTGTTGATCTCATGAGGAAAGCATTGCCAAACTCATTAATTCACAGAATCACAAACTTTTCCTTGCCTGTTTAACAAAACTCATTTTCAATTCATCTTGGTTTAACACAGTTCTTGTTTTATCTTACTATGGTTTTGATTAAAATGTTTAAAGATATTATATAACATGTAGTTTTGCAGTCCTCAGGTCAGTTTTTGCAGCTGCAACAGCAGGGATAAATATCCAAAGTAATGGATTAGTTGAAAAGATGTATCTGGTGCAATGCCATTATTTATTCTGATCATTATTATCACTGTGCTCATTATTAAACCTTTTGAATTTCATGAAACCAAATCTCTTAACAGTTTTATGGGATTCAGAAACACCAGTGTGTTGTGAACATATTGATGTGTATGGCAAAGGATTTAAAAATCACTCAGTACACCAGTGGCAATAATGAAAATAAGTCCTGAACTTATTATCATACATCCTTGACAAAGTTGGGCATATTGTATTACACGCTGATGGGCCTAAACATTACGACCACCTCTGTCTCATACGTGGATTCTTCGCATGCCACCTAACAGCCATGACCTCTGCAGGACCTCTGAAGGTGCCCTCAGGTATCTGGCTCCAGAGTTAGCTGCAGATCCTGTGCGAGGTGGAACCACCGCAGATCAGCGTTGTTCCAGCGCTGGTTCATGGTTTGTACCCCTCTTTGAACCAATCCCAGTCCTCGACATGTGCCATTGTTAAAGAGATAATCAATGTTATTCGCTTCATCCATGTATGGCTATAATATTTTGGCTCACTGATGTATAAATGTACATGTATATTGTCAGTAAACTGAATTAAAAAAATATTGTCAACCAGAGATAAAAAACAACCATCTCTTGTTTGTTGTGAAGCTAAGGTTTATTCATTTATTTTATGAATGTGTAGTCATTAATGGCATTCAATTATTGGCTCAAAACACATGATACTTCTAGAATCCATCATCATCACAAAAAGTGTTTTTCATCATCCTCACTCTATATTTACAGTCAGTTCATATTAATCACTCCTCTACAATTGTACATACAGCGGGTGTTTTCCTGTCAGATGAGACCTTCATATGCAAAATAAAAAAATAATCAGACTTCAGTCTCTCTTGTCATGGTGGCACAAAATTTAACAGAAAAAAACTAACTCAGACCTAATCTGAATATAAATACAATTTCATGTAAAGGTTTGTGAATGAGTGTAAGGCTAGAGGTATTAAAAAACACATACTTCATATTTACAGTTATTAAAATACCATTAGTAACTCACTGATAACCAATGGTAAACACATCATATTACATCATATTTTAAGTTATTAAAAAAAACAACTTTAAATATCAAAACAGCCTCTGTCTGTCACTATTTTTCAGATTGCAAACTGTACATAAGTCAAAACAGAATCAAGTTGTCCTGTACCCTCCGGTGTGTCCTCACGGTACCTGCATTCAGTGACACACTGTACCTCAACAGGTGTAAACTTGATGCCTCTCTGTTGGCTCAGGAACATGGGATGTTTTCCACCTGCAACACAACAGATCAAATGAGTCAATTTTGAATTTCTGAATTAATTGAACAAACAGAAAAATCTGTAAAAAAAAAAGTCTTTACTGGGCAGTCGGATGAGTATGAAAGTAGGTGGTGCTCCAAGAGGTATGCTGCCCTTCGCCTCATCTCTCCTTCACTGTTGTACTGAATGGCTTCTAACAGTGAAACTCCACCGTGCCTTACAAACTCATCTGCGACCTGAAAAGGAAAGAGCAGCCAGAGATATCACTTGTAAGAGTTGTGAGAAAATACAGTTGCTACGTAAAAAGAAAAAAAAAAAAGTTGTTTGGTTATCTCTACTAAGCACCATCGTCGCATCAGTTGTTTCACTCATTTTTGCACTAATCTTATCCTTGCTTACCTGTGGCCTGCTAACTACCAGCATGAAGAGGACCTCCAGACTCAGGGTAACCATTTCTTGGTCAGCCATTTTAAGTGTTGCACAGAGTGTAGACAGCAATCCAAGCTGGGCCAGCTGGACACAGGACTCCTTTTTCTTGTGGGCAATATTTGCTAGAACCCTGAGGATCTGACAAGAAGGCACAGACCGGTGAGACAGAAAGTGTAACATTGTAGGTGTTTGTGAACAATACAAGGTTCAAATTCAATCATTATCTGCCACTATGACTGAGAAGTATACTACAAAAGCAATAATATCAAAGTTTGGCTTTAGCTTGCACTGACCATCGTATTGATGCCTTGAGAGAATGACAGAAGCTGGATCAGACCAGGGACCAAGTTGAGAGTCAGCAGAGCAGAGCAGAAAGCACTGGAGTGAGCTGGAACAGAGAGTGATGGGAAAAGCATTGGAACAAATTACATTACATACAATCAGTCCTGATAAATACATAAATCCTCAGGTTGTTAGAGAAGGAAACATTCCTTTGCAAGACAGAACCACACAGATATGCAAACATGTAGTCATCTGCTGCTACTTTTTGTATCATATATATTTAGTATTTAATTGTACATATTATATTTTATTTTATTTTATTATATTGTATTATTAATCTTCTTTAAGTATTTGGTTCTTGTCATTTGGCAATCTGTTTTTCTTTCTTTGTACTGTCCACTTTGCTGCTGTGACATGGGAAATTTCCCCACTGTGGGACTAATAAAGAAATATCTTATCTTTTCTTATCTGTGTATATAAAGACAAAGATCTGATGATCTCTTAGTAAAGGTACTGACAACAGTAATTTTGAGACTAGAAACACTGACTGTTCTGAACTATACTGCTGGATGTTTGTGTTTTGAAGATAATTACATTGTAATGACTACTGGAATGGAGAGTACAATTGAACAGTTATTTAGTTTTGTTGCGTAAGTTCCAAGAATCCTATCTATAAAAATGCAAGTCAAATTAAATTTCAAAAAACTGTCGACGGTCGAGTGTATGATAAAGGTCTGCTGGTATGAGCTGTAACAGACCAGTCTAACCTGTGAGGTTGTTGAGGACCCAGGCACTCTCCCTTGCCAAGGCTGGCTGGGTGTGTAGGTAGGTCTTAAGAAGTGCACACAGAGCAACCACAAGTTGGACATCACCCACTTGAGTGTTCAGTCTGTCCACCGGGCAGAGGGACAGGAGGTTTCCCACACATCGCAGCAAAGGACAGACAAGCTGAGGAGGGGAGAGAGGAGAAATAAATGTGAACTTATAGTAAGCTTTTGGAAATGAATAATAAACACATAATTTGTTTCAAGTATGTAAACAAATCTGATCAAACAAACAGCAAAAAAGTAAAGAAATGTAATGAAATGCTGTATTTGATCCATTCATTTTCTTACCAGCTCAAGTCCTTCTTCTTTGTTTCCTTCAGCGACAGCACCACCTAGTGACACTAACAGAGAACTGCACTGCAACAGGGCCCCATGAGCCAACAGCTCTCTGTTACCCTCGATGCTTCAAGTAAGATAAGAGCAGAGGAGAGACAGATTGCCATTATTATGATCTGTGCACTTAGTGAAGTAATTACATAAAATGACAGTGTAGTCTGTAAATATAACAGACAGTTGACATTGACTGAGAACATCCCACAGCTCTCACTTGCAAGCCAGGTAGTGCAGGCACCAAGCACACTCAATAGCAGGTGCCAGGCCAAACTTCGGGTCAGGAGTTAGGACTGATAGCAAGTGTGAAGGTAAGCTGGAGGACAGGACCATCCTGCAGAGGGAGAGGGAGATCATTTTACAACTGAGGACAATGAATGCAAGAAGCACTAACATTGGTGTGCAATTAAAGTGCTTACGGGATTATTTTCTCTGCAGCAGCATCTTTGGCCTGAAGAAGCTGAGAGAGGGTGAACCCCACCGCTTCCACCACTGCTAGATTATGTCTCTGGTTCTGGAAACACACAGAATTATTAACATTATTACATTTAACCTGTGTGTGGCACCAGGTCAAGGCTATGTGGTTCATCAGATTTTTTTTTTTCCAAAACTTCCACAGATTATTTGAAAAACATTTACTGACATATTATCAAAGGGACAGTGAAGATATTGGTGTGACTCCTCTATTAAAGCTGAGGTGTTGTTACGATGTTTAAGGCCAATGAATCTTGTTAGGTTACCTCTATACAGTTGGCCAGAGCTGGTATGATTCCCTGGGCCAGGAGTTTCTCTTTCACAACATCACTGTCTGGGCATAAATTACCCAACGTGTAGAGGCACAGCTCCTGTGTACACATGAACACACACACACACACACACAAAGTCAGATCTTGTAGAATTAGGTGATCATATTACACACTGCCTGGTATAGTAGGCGTAGGTACTAACAGTGAACTTGGTGCTCTGGCCAGACAGGTAGGTGAGCAGGTAAGGGGTGGCAGGCAGACAGGCTGGGGCCACATTGGTGTGAGGAGAGTGAGACAGCTCGTGAAGACACCGAACAGCATGTAGACGGCACTGGGCATTAGAGCCAGTGAGGAGACCGACCAGCAGATGCATACTATTCTCCTGCCTAGGTTCACAGACAGACATGACACATGACTGACACAAATAGTGATAGCGTCATTCAAACTCATTTGATGTGGCGACACCATCATACTTGATGAAGGTGAGCTGTGCTGATGGGTGACGGAGCGCTTTACTCAGGTCTTTCAGGTGGGCCTCCCTCTCAGGTCCGCTGTGTTGAAGTTTGTGGAACAAACTAATCACATCCTGGGGAAATGTCAAATTAGGTTCAAATCTCAAGATCCTTCATTCATTGAACCTGCCAACAAATTATCTGTCACATCTGTCACTCACCTGCTCTCCCGAGGTAGTGTCCATGCTAGCCTCTGGCTGCTCCTCATCTTCATTCAGCAGAAGTCTCTTGCTCACCAGCTGTCTGTCTCTGCGGGCCTGTCTCAGTGCTACAGCATTCAACAATGACAATTATCACATTTATCACATAGTTCCTGCTCCAGTCATACTAGAGTAAGCTATCATACCTTAGTTGTTCAGTGTAAAGAGTTTCATCAACTATGAGAATGTCGCAGCAGCTAAAGGATGTATCAGTGTAATATTGAAAGCTTTACCAGACATCAAGTTATATTTTGCTGTCTTCTGATCCATCTGTTCAATCATCATTTTCAGCAGAGTGAAATACTGAATGGTGAAATGGAGGCTGGCTTACTATTATATATAAACTATGAGAATGTCGCAGCAGCTAAAGGATGTATCAGTGTAATATTGAAAGCTTTACCAGACATCAAGTTATATTTTGCTGTCTTCTGATCCATCTGTTCAATCATCATTTTCAGCAGAGTGAAATACTGAATGGTGAAATGGAGGCTGGCTTACTATAATATATATATATATATATATATATATATAGGATACATATACATGTATACTGGAGAAATGCAAAATGACCATAAAGATACAAAATAAATACAGAGACAAAATAACCACAGGGACCACAAAGACAAACTACAAAGAAACACTAAACAACTACCTAGAACCCAAAATGACTACATAAAGAAACATGGCAACCACTACAGATGCAAACCTGGCCACTACAGAGAGTCACAGGACAACAAAACGACTAAGGCACATAATGACAACAGAGACTGAAGAGGCACAAAATGATCACAAAAATTCACAAAGCGACTTGACAACGTTTGTTCTGCGTCTCTTTCAGTCTGGGGGTCTTGCTACAGCGCAGAGGGGGTGGGGACCTTTTACATGTCTGCGACTAGGGGCCCGTCGTCTCATAATCCGTCCAACGTTAACCTTAAATTTGTGTCGTTTACGTTTTTGCTGAGATTGCGTTGCGCTGCATTTACTGATGTTAACCGTTCAGTTAATTAAACAATAACTGTCCAAACTAAACATACGTCACAATTTAACGTTAGACCAGTTTCACCTTTTTCGTGTTCTCGCCTCTTTAACCTGAGCTCCTCCAGGCTGTCGCCTTGTCGACCAGCTTTGTGGCGAACTCTGTTTAGCCTCCACATTTGACTGCTCTTCTAAGGTATCAGTATCTTAAGTTAAACTCGTTATGGTGACTTATTTCATAGTGGAAGATGTAGCTATGGTGCAGGAATGAGTCCTACAACCCGGAAATTGGTCCTAAAACCGGAAGTTCCCTCATCCCGTCCCGAGACCTGTCCCTATGGGTTTTTTTAAAAGTTGGTTTTCACGATTTATTCTACAACATAAAATACAGTCAGTCAATACCCCCGTCTTCTTCTTCTTTGAGGTTTAATGGCAATTGGCATCCAATACATAAATACCCCAGTCACGATTTTTTGTAGATCGAAAATCGATCTACGGTTCATTTTGACCACCTCGTTGTGTTTATACTCACGCTTTTACAAACTCTTACTGTCTCAGAGGAAACGCGTTTGAAGAAGAGGTAAGTACGCTAAATCAAACTACAAGTTGAAAGTTTAGTAGTGATGACGTTACAATCATGCGACCGTGGTATAGATCGTTTATAGCAGACAGTAGAGAACATGGATGTAATACATCCATGGTAGAGACAGTATAGAGGATCTTTGTTTATAGCCATTAATTTTTACTTCTGATGATTGTATTTATGCGTCGATTGTATGAATGTGTCTGTCTTATTCTGTTCATGATAACGGACTTCAGACAGGGGATAAAAAAAACTATAGCGTTTAATTTGTATTAAAAGCACAATGTACAATGTATATATGAAAGTCTTATCATAAAACTTTTTTTTGGAAACACTGAACTTTCACCCAATACCAAAATAAGCTATTTCAGTATTATTTTAATAAACCTGAAACTTGTTTTTTCTCCACAAAATCTGTCTTCTGTGCCAATTACAAGACAGATGGTACAGTAGTAAACATACTGACAACATTCATTTCATTATTCTATCTGAATCACTATAAAATCTGAGATACGGTTAATGATTCAAAGACCCAGGATAGTTTCGATTATAATGGGACAAATTCCTCAGACTGAAGGACATTGAGCTCAAAAATGGCACGTCCATTCAATCAGTGAAACAACTGGTTACAATCTCTTTTACATAATCATGCAATTAAAATGGTAATTACCATACAAAACATTGAGTAAAAAAGACAGCTGTGGCACAGTATGCCACATTCTGTGTGGTAAACACAAAACAAATTTAAAAGATAAAAATGTACCAAAATAAAAAAGTCAAAAAGTCATCTTTACAGTTTGAAGCGATCCTTTTAACCATTAAACTATGATTTGAAATAATGTGGAGGGATGTGTTAACTTCATCCTTGGGTTCAGCACTGATGTAGAATCAAACATCTTCATGACTCTGTGCTCTTGGAGGATTTCTTCTTCTGTGAAGAATTACAGAAAAAAAAGCAATTAAAGTGATCAGTATAATTAATGTTGAGTAGTGAAACTGATTACACCTTTTTTCTGCCTTGACAGTTCATTTCCAGCAGTAACCTAAATCTATAACATATTGAACTGGTGAATTGTACAGTATTGATACCTTTTTGTGGCTGTCACTGGAGGGTGTTTGGAGTATTTGTGATGCTGTGGCATCCTGGACTGAAACTGCAGGTGTTTCAGGGATCTCATCTGATTTCAATTTGTTTTTCTCTGAGATAATGACAAATGAAAATGTGAAAACAAACATACAAAAACAGAACAACTGCATTTAGTTATGATTGGTGTGAGTTATCTACTTACTTTTCTTCTTCTCTGATGGAGGACTTGGTATCTCAGGGCTGGGTGGAGGTAGTGGCTCTGTGTCAACTGAATTGTTTTTCAATGATGAGTCCTTTTTCTTTTTCTTCTTCACTTCACTCTTCTCCTCTGGCTTTTCCTCTCTGTCACTGCTCTCCGTTTTCTTTGTCATAGTCACATTTTCTTCAATAATCTGGTCTGACAACTTATTTTGATCAGCTTTGTCCTTTTTTTTCTTTTTCGTTTCTTCAACTATCTGCTCTGAACTTTCTTCGTCAGGATTTTCTTTTTTCTTCTTCTTTGCTTTCTTTTCTTTAAATATTTGTTCTGAGTTTTCTTCATAATTAGCAGTTTCTCCTTTCTTCTTCTTTGTTTTCTTTTCTTCTTCTATTTGCTCTGTATTTTCTTTTTCTTCTTCAGGTACCTGCTCTGGATTTTCCTCACTTTCAGCTGTCTTTTTCTTCTTTTCTTTCTTTTCTTCAGCTGTCTGCTCTGAATTTTCCTCACAATCAATTTTCTCCTTTTTCTTCTTCTTCTTCTTGGGTTTCTTTTCTTGTACTATTGGCTCTGTAATTTCCTCATTATCAGCATCCCCATTTTTGTTTTTCTCTAATAATTCTCCTCCAGTCTCATTGTTCTTGCTATCTCCCTTTCTTCCCTTTGTCTTTCTCCTCTCCTCTACAGGTCTATCAACACACTCTCGCTCTGCGACGTCATTCTTTTTTTTCTTCTCCTCTTTACTCTCTTTTTCTTTTCCATCTTCGCTAGTCACATTTGCATTCCCTTCCACGTTGTCTTCAGTCATCCCCTTTTTCTTCTTCTTCTTCTTAGGCTCAGATGTTGTCTCATCATTCTCTTCCTTACTGGGAGTCACAGCTTTTCTTTTCTCTTTCATTGGTGTCTGTTTTGAAGGAGAGAGAGTGGTTGTAGTTAGTCTGTTCTCTACAGCATTGGGGTTTTTTTCTTGGCTCGGGGTGGCAGAAGAGGTCACAGGTGCAGTATTTTTTGGACTGCTCTTCTTGCGTTTACTGTTCTTTGTTGGCGTGTCTTTTATAGCTTTCTCCTCCACCTGCTCATTCTTTTCAACAGTCCCATTATTCTGAATGGGAGTGTCAGTTTTTGCGGGAGGCTTAGCCCGGGGTTTTCTGACGCTTGTTTTCTTGGGTTTTGGTGCAGAAGAGTCCAGAGCGTTGATGGTCTCCATCTTGTCTATGTCAGCCTCTGTGGACAGGGTAAACAAAGTGAAGACATTGAACAAACATGGCTATGTGGCACAAATGTTTCAAAGAAAACATCAATGGCAACCACAACACTACTGTACACAACTCTGTTTTTATGAAATCACTGTTTTCCATGGTGAGGTTGTTCATGGGTGGTGATGTCTTTCTCCCTTTAAGTGAGAGGACCCAGCTCTCCCTGTCTTTTCATCTCCTGCATTTTCCACACTTCTTAACTTTCTCCACTGTCCATTCTGTCTCTTTCCAATGTGAAAATCTCCCAAAAACACACCACTCACTTTTTCTCTAACCTGGATTCCTATATCTACCTACTGTATGTATTTTGGCACACACACACACACACACACACACACACACACACACACACACACACTAACACACATACCTGTGAACTGCAGGACCAGTTTCTTCCATTTCTCTACATCCAGACTGCTGTCAGAGTCTGAATCATCTCCACCAGCGGCTACAACTTTGTCTTTTGTTTGGGTCTTTGATTTCTTTGCCTTGGTGACATTTTCTGCAGATTTTCCCTCACTTTTTTTCCTTTTTGCAGGCACGGCCTAAAAAAAGTGAAGAATAAACAGCCTCCTTAGTAAAGTTTCAGAATTGAGATGAATACATTAAATAAAATGAAAATAAAATAAAACTTACCTTCTTTTTTTGTGTCTCTGCTTTTTTTCCTGGTTTATCTGTCTTTTTTGTTTGCAAGGCTAGAAATAAAAAAAGTGTAGGGTTAAAAATTAATCAAACACTCTTTCTAGTCCAGTGACTGCTGTGGGCTTAATCCTGCTGAAAGACTTTCAAAAGCGTCAACAGAGGTGTAGCTACAGTAGCCCTGCACAGAATCCTTAACTTTCAAATAACTAATGAATGGAAATTTGAAGAACCCTGCATAATGCCCAATTTCAATCCCTTGATTTTGGAGCAAAGATGAACCAGGTGGAGAAAAACATCTTATGAAAGTTAAACCATAACAAGTGAACTGTTTTCGCCCACATCTCAGCCCTGACTTTAACTTAACTTTCAATGCTGCATATTTACAGTCAGTTTTGGGAAAAGAAGCAGTCATACCTTTAGTCGTAGTCCTTCCTTGTTCTTTACACTTGGCTTGCTTGGCTGAGTTAGACCGCTTTTTCTTTTTTGAGTCACTGTCAGGAATTAAAACAATACTCCGTATACATCTCATTACAGCGAGGTCAGCTTACAAGATCAAGGTGGGTGACTTCTGAAAAGAAGTAGTAAGAAATCATACTCACTTTAACCATGAACTGTAGATCTCTAGTAACGATGCAGATATTTTTGTCTCCCCCTGCAGAAAAAAAGAAAAAAAAATCAATATAAACTGATAAGATAACATTTTTTTCAGGGAGACATTCAGGAAAACCACAGACGAAACTAATTACAGCAATGTGCCCTCCTTTCCAGCAAATGTTGATTGATAATGAATTAATTACACCTATATTTGACAAGTCAAATATCCATTGTGAAAACACTTTAGTTTCACCAACTTTCTTCTGGTCTTGCGCTCCCCCTGCAACAGCTCTGCCACCCACTCAGGGGGAGCCTGCCCCCCTTGGGAGCCATTGAACTAAACTATAGATTAAATAAAGGCTAATGGCCACTCTGTGATGCAAAACATATTTTAATCTTCAAAAATGTTCCCCATTCTGCTTTATTTGCATTTTGATTTGAAATACCTGACTAATGATGAGCCTGAATGTCCATTTTGTTTCACTTTATTTGTTCACTCTTCAAACTGCTGAAAAAGGTATTAAATATAAAGTGCTGCTCTTCATTGGACTAGAACAAGCCAATGTTTACACATATAGTAATGACTGTATTTTGGCATTGTGTTAATAAATGTAATTAAGTTCTAACAGCACATGATTAACATAAGAAAAGAAACCACCTGTAAAATCTAATTACTAAACTATTTACCTTTTAGAAGTGTCATTTTTAATGAATAAATACATAATACTTTTCTATGTCTTGTTCTGTCTGTTTGGTTTGTTTAGTTCTCTCCTGTCTCTGTGCTCATGTTTTCCTTGTGATTTGCAGAACTACAGATGAAAATTAGCTTTTAGCTAACTATGGTACAATACACCATATGTTTAATATTGTACACAGAAATCAAATCAAATAAATACTGCATGGCAATAAGTGGGAGGCTTGAAGTTCAACTTGTGACAACTCTTTCATAAGGGAACAGTAGATGAACAGAGTGCCCATGCACAGAACAGAAGATCACGATTGTAGCATTTATCACAACTGTACATTATTGTGTAGCGTTGAAACACTTTTACAAACTGCAGCAGTTACATTCACTATAATCGTCCCAAACTTGACTACCTCTCTGTCACAGACAGTGTGAGTGTGTGTGTACAGTGTTGACCTGTGGGCTGTGCTTTTCCAGCTCCTCTGCAGCTGACTGGAAACCATGCTCCTTCAAATGGCGGTAGATCAACTGGATCAGCTCGTGCTTTGATACGTTCACAGACATGTCCGACACACGAGGAAGCCGACAAATAAACACGCAGGAGTAACCACTAAGAGTATTTTCATATTAAAACTGACCACATACTTCACTGAGTAACCGCTAGTCAACTAAAACACGCATGTTAGCATGTTGAACTCAGGAAGTTGTTCCGTTCACCGGTGCAATGCACCATGGGAGATGTAGTACTTCCGTGAAACATTCAGCCTTCAGCCCATGCTTAATGCATTCTCTTATAATAAAGCATAACCCTGCCAAAATAAGATACCACAATAAATTACAGATGTTGTAAGACCTTCCATAGTCCTTTTAAGTATCTGTTAGTGATACCGTCTGGGCATAGCTACTCAGCCTGTACAGATGTTTCAACTGACCTTTCATCTTATTTGCTTTTTTAAGCAGAAGAATGTCACATTGACCCATTATTATATTGAGCCAGTCATACCAACCAACAAAGACCCTCTCTCTTTCCATCACTTTTCTTTCTACCTGCCTGCAACTTTCCTACGATTTTGCTCAGTTTTAGTGCAGTTTCAGCTTAGTTTCACATCCTCTCCCAGGAAGGAAATCTAACAGACGAGTCACGCCCTTAAGCCAGTCAAGGCTTGTATGATTTGGATCAGTCTCAGAGGTAATTTACCCAGGGGCAATCCGATTTTACTGGAAGAGATCAACGGGAAAGGACTGGGCTATTATTCCGGCAAAATTGGTGATCTGATCTGTCTTTCTGACAATATGAATGTAGACTTCCTGAAGTATTGGCCTCAAGGCTTTTAGAGTTTCTGGTGGTTCTACATTACTGAGAATTAATGGCATCCCTCTGGCTTTAGTAAAAGAGTCTCATCTAATTTAGATTTCATGTTTTGTTTATTTTTTTACATTTATAATTCTTTCAGTCACATGATGTATGGTTGAAACACGTAGTCTTAAAAGTTTTAAAATAGCCGACACATTTTCAAACTGTCAGGTCCCAGAATAAACTTAACTTGTGTCCTGGATGTTGAAGATCCCCTAAAAACATATAGTATCACAACAACTTTGTTAAGTGAGGGTTTATTTCTTGATGGAAACTTGTTGATGATTCATCCAAGTACTCCAGTTTCCTTCCACTGTCCAAACACATGCAAGTTAAGTTGACTGTAGAAATGTAGAAATGACTATGTTTGTCTGTCTATGTGATAAACTGATGACATTGTCCAGGAAGTACTATATGACCGGATTAGATAATAAAGATAGATGGATGAAACGGCTCACTTGCTCTCCTTTTTAAAGTTGCTTGTAACAAAATTGAAAATTAAAAGGTGGCACATGGTTTCCTTTGTAGCAAGCAAAGCGAACCCAGATATGTGCAGATGTGATGTGTGCAGACACTAAAAGGTGAGAAATTAAAGGAAAAGCCAACATAGACCACTGACTCATACTTAAGGAAATAACACCAGTATTATCCTGTTAGTATTAGAATAAACCTCCCCTTCTTGTTCCTTCTGGCTGCCATTTTAACAGTTTCTCTTGTGGCTCTAGGTTTCTTGAACTCAGCTCTCTTCTTAAATCTCTTCATGCTGGAAAAACATCCTCCAACCACAGAGCCAGACAATCCACAAAACTATCCAATCAAGTGAACAAATCAGAAACTTTTCAAAAGCTGCCAGGAAGGCCGGTCTCCTGTCGATCAGGTGTATTTGGATAAAAGCATGCCTTTTTTTTGTCTGGCTGGTTTGGGAGGAAGGTAAATGTGTCTGGGCACAACAGGCTGCCAGGGAGTAGATCTGAGAGAGCTGGTGGTGAGACCTTGGGTCAAACTAGAGGAGAGTATTGAGTAAGCAGAGGGTCAGCAGGAGCAAAACGGCTGAAAGAGCCTCATTCATCGGGCAAAACCAGGAAAGCAGTGAGTATTCCAAACTCAACGTCAGTGCTCAGTGGCTCTCACCAGGGTTGATTTCACCATCTTGCACAACCCCTCTCCCCCCAAAACACACATGCACACGCCATCGGTTTGGCCTAAGGAGCTGGTTATGAGGCTGACTCAGCTCCCCATTCTCAGAATGTTGATGGGAAAGACCACCAAGGTTTTATTGGAGAAAAACTATTTGTAAACTGGGAAATGTCATATTTCCTCAGGACACTTTCCTTCTAAACATCACAATATGTTGAATTAAATCTGGCATGCGATAAATTGCATTTTATAGAGTGAGGTTAAGTTACTGGAGAAAAAAAAAGGCAGTGACAGAGAGGACTGAATAACTGCACATCCCTGAGCACAAGAAACATTTCCCTTGGCTTTGATGACATGTTGCAGTAAAGCTGACTGTGATATTTGTACAGGTTACCCTTGTAAATGGCAGACTGTTTTACAGGAAATAAATCTACTTTACATTCCACACATTTAGCTGCTCACATCTGTGCTCACCCTGCAGGTAATTGCCTACAACTACAGCCGGTGAGATTTGTTATTGCTGGGGACCTTTAATGTATCACAACCTGTCAGTGCTGCCACGTTGGTAAGGTTGTAAAACTGATTTAGGCAGTGGCGCTTCTCGCTTGTATGCTGCCCTGGGCAAACACCCCCTTCTTTAAATTTTTATAATAACATTCCTGTGATATTATTCCTGAAAACAAATCGTTGATTTTGTCGAAATTTCTGAAAATATCTCTGTTAAAGTTCTTAAATATTCTGATAATATTCCTGTTAATCTGCTACAATATTACTGAAAATTTTCTTGTAACAAATCGTCATGACTTTTAAAAACTAAATAAATGATGAGTAGCAATTAAAGCTATGCAATCATAAATACCAAAATGAAATAAGTCTCTGTCCCTCTTATATACACACAAATAATAATAGAAAATCAAAATACTAATCTGCACAAATCAATCATCCCACAAATATATTAACAAAAGAACCTACTTCTTCTTATTATTACACTATTACACACTTCAAACAAGACACACACATTGCACAACTGTCATTTGAAGCCTCACCTTTAACACCTCTCTATATATATCTGTAGGCCTATATCTATATATAGGCCTATACGTGTGGTGTGCTAGTTTATCATTCTAAACGATTTCTCAGTATTATGACTGAATTGTGGTTTATTTGGCAGCCTTTCCTGCTGTGTAGTGCTGTGCAGGTAAAACACTTTAGTATGTATCTCATTATTTGAAAAATTTGCCTATGAAATTGATTGGTTCATTAAATAAAAAAGTAACATTACGGAAATGTCAAATACACCCACACACAGGGTGCCATAGTGATTGCTCTTTGAGTCCCTTTCAGACGTCCTTCCAGGTGGCTCTGCTGGAGGGAAGTAATGAAGTGTTGTGCCTGGCCTTCCTGCCCAGGTGCTGCTGCAGCTCCACAAGAGCCAACTCAAACACACCTACAGTCAGAGGCTGAGGTCAGTACTCGAGCCCACACTGTCCCCTCACCTGTGAGGTAACACCTGGTAAGACATAATGTGTGGACATCAGAATGTCTACAGAGAGAAAGGAAGAGGATATATTATCTGAATACAACTGTCTGCTCTTTTTGAAACAGATCTCCTCATGTGACTCATTTTCATGTGTTTTTTAACCTCGCTACACAGATGAGATGCATTATTGAGCTTTCTTAAACATGTACAAACCGTTGTTTCTTGCGCTGCAGATCTACTGCTGGTGGAGGTTGTGGCTGTTGCCGCTGAGGCTTACCCACACCCGCCTGTGTTCACTGAGAGAAACTGAAGCACAGGTATTAGCTGGTACTTGATTATGCTGTTATTAGCACAGTTCATTTTTTTTTGTTTCATTTTCTCAAACTGTCTATTTAAAAAGGTTTAGAAAGATGAAAAAAAGATGTGTCATATACTGCTCCTTCCCCTTGCATTGCCTCCAAAGACAGAGTGTATTATCTGCATTTTTAAGTATAATAGGTTCTATGGATATCAGTAAAATTATCAACTTTAAAACGTATAAAATGAAAGCATTAGCAAAGTTGTATGTTACGCAGTTTGCCAGCCAGCCTGAAAACTCATTTTTGGTATATCCGTTGAAACCTGCTGAATTTAAATAACTGAACCAAGAGAGAAAGATGAGTGTCCTTTGCCCTAAAATGACCCTGATTTGATTAACTGATGTTGAAAAGATGATAACAGATTTTTTTTTTTTTAAAAAGGAGATGTTGAACAAACTCTGAAACAAAGGTACTTCTGTACATAGTAGAGGGGCGACAAGCTGAATACAGTTCTATTGAAGTAAGGGTTTTGGCTCAGGGTTGAAACACAGGAAGAAAGAAAAACCTCCATCCAGTCTTTCTCAGATTAGAAAATTGGGGTAGGAGGGGGAGTAATGTGCAGCTTTACTGGCAGGGCTGCGTTGACTAGAAAGGGGGTAGTGTTCATGGCGAAGGGGAGCAGCCGTATTCAGTAACAGCACCTCTTCCTTTAGCCAAAGCCAACATCTGGTGCCGACCGACACAGAACAGCAGCAGCAGCAGCAGCAGACGCAGCAGCAGCAGCAGCAGCAGCAGCAGCAGCAGCAGCAGCAGCGGCAGCCAGAGTCTCTGCTTCCCTTTCAACTCATTATTGCATTTCATGGTTCCTTACAACCCAGATGGAAAGTGATGTAAAAATGAGGAGATGTTGTTGAATGTGTATGTGTGTTTTTCTGTGTTTGTTAGTTTATCAGAAGAGAGGAGGTGAAAGGTCAATACAAAGGGTTTAAAAGCTACTACTACCTCTTGTACTAACTTCATGAATGAGGCAAGTAATGAACTCCTTCCGAATGAAACCGCACTTTGATTGTGTTTTTATATATCCGCTTTTAATTAAGCAGTAGAAAAAAGGAGGTGTTGTTAAATTTACGATGTTCCACGACACTCTGTTGTGTTCACAAGCTCTGGAAGAAATTGGACATATTAGGTGGGTAATGAAAAACCAACAAAGACACCACAGATGTTCACAGCACAAATACTTGCAACTCTGAGCCTTTACCAAGTAGCTTGAGTTCAAGGCGACCGTCACATTTTTAAATTTCCATTTAGAGAGATAATTTTTCCTCTCAAAACCTCACTCTGAAAACGTCCCAATGATATGTAACCATTAGGAGGAAAGTGGTCTGAAAACATTCATCATTTTAAACAGTTACACTTGGGACAGCAGAGGAGAGGGATCAAACGGGTGAAAGGATGAAAAGAGCAGTGGAGTAAGAGTTTGAGAATGTGATGTGTGAGTAGTTATTAAAGCTGTGTGACTAACTTTAACCTGACCTGACCACTCACTGTGTTTGAATCAAGCTGTTTCTGCAGGTAGACAGCTGCGGTTCACAAGAATGCAAAAAAATTAACATACCTTTTATTTTTAGGTTATTTTGACATGGAGCAGCAGCAGCAGCGTGAACCAAGTTATGGCAAACAAATAACTGAAAATAACCTCCAGAAACCAAGTATGGTGTTTGTTGAACATCTTGGGGGGGGGGGGGGGTCAAAGAAAACTCCACTCGTGGTGTATTGTAAGGTTGCTGTTTCCATAAATACTGTCATCAAACCATTTCTTGGTTAATGGTTGAATTCTTTATTTTGGCAAAATGACAGTTCAAAAAAGGATAAAAGGATTAGTAAACGTGTGGTGTAACTGTAACATATCTGTGGTATCAACCTATTAACATCTTTCAGACTTTGGAGTATGATGAGTATGTGGGCACATGCTTGTGTTAATATATGCGCATGTTTGAGTTGATAGGTGTGTGTTGTGGTGTTGGTTGTGAGTAGGACTGTTGTTGACCCGGTGAGCTGCAGCAGTTACACCTCTGACCAACAGAAAACAGATGAGTCACATCTCATCAGAGTGGCTGCCCAAAGACATGAGGACTCTTAATTTCCTGGCAATACACACACACACACACACGCACATACACACACGTACACACGCACACACACACACACACACACACACACACACACACACACACACACACACACAGGGTCACTTGGGGACAACCCTGACTGTCCCGTCTCCTATCTGTGACATATCGTAAACTTACTATGATCAACATTATCCCGTCCCTCAGTGTGATTGCACAACAGCTCTCTGATTTTTGTTGGGGCTTTTGCGAACACCTTCAGCTGTCCAAGCCGCTCCCTCTAGGAAAACTACATAAATAAACAGGATGGTGTAAAACTCCAGGTGCACCTCAATTTTTTTTTCTTCTCTCTCTTTCCTGGCTTGACCTGCCTTAGACTCAGAAGCTCCAAAGATGCCTCTGCCGCTGCTGCTGCTGCTTCTGCTGCTGCTGCTGGGCAAACATCCCCAGCCCGCAGCTTCATACCCCTTTACGGGAGGCTCATACTTCCTTTGGCTGTGCGGTGACCTCCACGCCCACAAGTCCCAGTATCAACATTTCGCAAGGTGTGATGTTTTACCTTCCAGTGTGTTGACCAACTCCTGATGTCGACGGATCTTATTTCTGTGTGCGGGCCATGTTTCACCTCAATGACCTTGAGCTATTCAAAAGATTTAAATTTTAAAGACAAAAAAATTGTGACATAGTGAATATACAGAAGATGTAAATATTAGGGCCTCTTACACAATTGAAACAGTATCTTATGCATGGTATAATATCAGCCTGATAACAGCCCAATCCAACAGGCACGGGGGACATCGGGAATCAGAATATGAGCTGAGCACGACAGTGTGATGTTTTATCCCATGTAGAGATTGTGCTAGTAGCACGCTTTGCTAGGTCCTGGAGGAAAGACTTGCATGCCAGAATTTTTCTCAACTTTGACAACATGTACAACAGGGGGGGGGGGTCCAAATCTGTTTCACTATCTGACAAGCAGTTCTGATGGAGTACACTTGCCTTAAATGTTGTGATATCTTCCTTTGTAATTGATACAATTGAAATCACTCTTTGTTTTGGTCATTCACTATTTTCTACCTTGTGCAGCTCTCCACAGACCTTCACTGACTCCCCAGTCAAAGCGAATCAGCAGCGTGATGAAGGTCTACAGACAAGATGCCGTGGAGCAACAAGTAGCTGTGGCTGAGGCTGTGCAGTCCCGCTGCTTTCTGTTGACCCACTGGATGATTTGTAAAGTGGTTCTTTGACGCCTGGTTGGAGATGTTATCAGAGTCTGGTAAGTCTGCTCTGTCTCTCTCCTCGGGTCTGCAATACTCATAAAACAGCAGGAATAATAAGAGAGTGTTTGAGAGCGCAGTGGAGTGCAGCGTGGAACAGTGTCTGTGATTGTGTCTGTAGGGCCCCACAACCGCCCCGAGACTCAAATCTCCCCCACACACCGTGTTTTTCTGAGTGAGGGTCTCTCTGTAGAGCCTCTGTCGTCCACAGCTAAACCAGGTCAAATGGGAATGATTTCTTCCTGCTTTGTAGTCATTTGTAAAGTTGACAGTACGGTTCACTGAAATCAAATGACCATGAAATAGTGGAAATGAAGAGGAGGGTGAATGATGTGACTCTTTTGGCTGATTTAGCATTTTGAAAGCTGCCTTTACGCTGAAGGGAGCGAAATGTGACAGAACTACATTCATCACATGTAGGATATTGCAGAATATTATCCAATTTTAGCACAAATATCAGTGCCTACTAATGTGAGATGTAAACTCACCATAAACACCTGGCTGTAGTAGAAACATTTCTGTGTGTGTTTTTGGGTGGTGGTGCTGGGGGGGCTGATGTTATTTCAGTGAGGCGGCTAGGCAAATGGGCGGGGTTAATGGGACCACTAGGGAAAGTGAAATGCTTTCAAAGAGGCTGAAACAGTCTGGAGAGAGTAAGGATGGAGGTGTAGTGCGCGTTGAGGTCCAGGATTTGCTTTACTGCCATAGAAGCAGTGAGGATATTTTTCATCCCGAGCCCCACTCCACAATGATTTAGTGACAACATACTAAATACAAGCTAGTTTGACAAATATAAAGTGAGACAGAAACCATGGCAACGACAGCTCTGACCGGTTTCTCCATGATGAGCCTGCTCAGCCTCGGGTACCTGACCTGGGATACGATGAGTCCTAACCAGGTGGAAAACGAGCCCGACCAAATTTTTGGAGACAGGTCTTCCACCCCTCAGCCTCCTCACATCATTTTCATCATGACAGACGATCAGGGATTCAACGACATCGGCTATCACAGCTCTGACATCAGGACACCGGCGCTGGATAAACTGGCCGCGGACGGAGTGAAGCTGGAGAACTATTACATCCAGCCCATCTGCACCCCGTCCCGAAGTCAACTCATCACCGGCAGGTAAAGTGTTATACCTCAGACTTGACACTGGATTTTCTCTTGTTGTGAGTCTGGACCATCATTTCTTAAATAAAAACACTGATGAAATGAAATGATTAGGCTCCATGTATTTTAATAGGCCTACATGTATATGTTTTTGTTAGCTATAAGATTTGAGTGAATGGAAAGGGGTGTGCAGAACCAAAAGCACTCGTAACATTTTATGTAGATAGTTTTGGGATACTGTGCTTCATGCCTCAAAGAGTAAAAGTAAATATCGATGAATGTATTATACAAACAAAAGTAGGCTTGTCTTTTGGACTGTGTCCCAGCGTTACTGATAAATAAACTTCAGTTTAAGTTCAGTTTAGTGCACTCTTATTCATTTTTCTGATAAAATGAAAGGAGCTTGATCATTTATTTTGCCTTTAAACCCATATACCTGCAAAGGTGTAAAAGAACCTCATATTCATATATACTACATTTTTCAGGAAATGGTTTCACTCCAGAAAAATTATTATTATTACTATATTAATAGTTGATAATTACTATATTATTATAAAACATTTCCACTGAGATATGAATTACATTCAGTTTTCTGTAAAAGCAGAATGACTTTAATTTTGAATGGAAATCAGTGTTTCAAACCTATAGCATCAGCCAGAATATAGGATTTGAGAATTATATGAAAGTTTTGACTAAATATTTCTCACAGAAACATCTGGGCCCAGATGGCATAAGGAGGTTAGGCCAAGACAGATGCTGTAAAAGAAAACTCGTAGCTCAGGGCTCAGAGAAAAAACAAAACATATAAAGCCATTTTCCACAGCGCTGTATGTGGCCTCATCTTCATCAAACACTGTTGACCACACATCCAGCTGAGGGAGGAAACCTTTATTCAGTCCTTTTCTTTCCTCCTCTTGCCTCTTACTCAGTTTACTATCTGTTGGATTGGATTATTGATAACACATTAGTCTGACAGTTTTCTTAACCATTAATTCTACAGGTACCAAATTCACACTGGCCTGCAGCACTCCATCATCCGGCCCCGCCAGCCCAACTGCCTGCCCTTTGACCAGGTCACCCTCCCCCAGAGGCTGCAGGAGCTCGGCTACTCCACCCACATGGTCGGCAAGTGGCACCTGGGCTTCTACAAGAAGGAGTGTTTGCCCACTCGCCGTGGCTTCGACACCTACTTCGGCTCCTTAACGGGCAGTGTGAACTACTACACTTATGATTCCTGTGACGGCCCTGGGCTGTGTGGCTTTGACCTCCATGAAGGGGAAGCGGTCGCCTGGGGCCAGAGGGGCAAATACTCCACCCATTTGTACACGCAGAGAGTCCGCAAGATCCTGGCAACCCACGATCCTCAGTCCCAGCCGCTGTTCATCTTCCTCTCCTTCCAAGCTGTTCACACACCCCTGCAGTCTCCACGGGAGTACATCTACCCTTACCGTGGGCTGGAAAATGTGGCACGCAGGAAGTATGCTGCTATGGTGTCAGCTGTAGACGAGGCAGTTCGAAATATAACATATGCTCTCCGCAAGTACGGTTACTACCAGAACAGCGTCATCATCTTCTCTACTGACAACGGTGGCCAGCCTTTGTCTGGTGGCAGTAACTGGCCCCTCAGAGGACGTAAAGGCACCTACTGGGAAGGTGGCGTCCGGGGTCTGGGGTTTGTCCACAGTCCTCTGCTGAGGAGGAAGCGGAGGGTGAGCAAAGCCTTGGTGCACATTACTGACTGGTATCCCACACTGGTGGGACTAGCAGGTGGCAATGAGTCCCTGACAGAGGGGGTGGATGGGTATAATGTTTGGGAAGCCATCAGTGAAGGTAAAGAGTCACCAAGATTGGAAATCCTCCACAACATCGACCCTCTCTATAACCATGCACGCAGTGGCTCCCTGCAGAAAGGATATGGGATTTGGAACACAGCCGTTCAGGCCTCCATCCGAGCTGGAGACTGGAAACTTCTGACAGGAGACCCTGGTTATGGAGACTGGACCCCGCCACAGATCCTTCCAGGTTTTCCCAATGGCTGGTGGAACCTAGAGCGCCACACTCAGCCTCGGAAATCAGTGTGGCTTTTCAACATCTCCGGAGACCCTTACGAACGTTTTGACCTCTCTGAGCAGAGACCAGATGTTGTCAAAGAGCTTTTAGCCAGACTGGTGTACTACAACCGCACTGCGGTGCCGGTAAGGTATCCATCAGAGGACCCACGGGCTGACCCAGTCCTGAATGGAGGTGCCTGGGTCCCCTGGGTGGGAGATGAGGAGGAGGACAGCTGGGACAGTGTTTACCAGAAAAAGAACAAGGATTGGAAGAAGAAGCTCAAACAGTCCAAAAGCAGGTCGTTTTTCAGGAGACTCAACACTAGGATCATGTCCAACAGGATATAGAAAGGACATGACTGAAAAAAGATTCAGAAGAGACACTTCTGAAAGACAACGTTTATATCGAGGATGTTTTCAAGTTGGGTTTTTGTTTTCACTGACAGTGAATATGCAAGATCCAGCTGCAGTTATTGAGTTGTAGATGGAGGTATATGTTCAGTCCACTGAAAGTATTCATTATTCAACTGGTTTGTATCCATTTGAATAAAAAAAAAAAAAGTTTGCCCCTAAATTGAAAACTACAAACAGAAAAAACGTGAGCTGACTCCATTTTACCAGATGATACAAGTATGTAAGCAAATGTGTCTTACTAGCATAAAAGAGACGGTCCTCCCAAGAGAGAGAGACATATAAGATAAGATTGTTTTATAAAATCAGAATTGCTGTATTTGACAAGGTGACATGCGGAAATCATCTGCAACCATTTGTAACTATGATTAATATAAATGACAACTACCTCTATGTCAATGTGACATTCATTGCAAGCTTTATTTCTTTAACTCAAACTCTTTCTCAGCTTCACCTTTTTATCATGTACACATTTTAAAATAGAGGAATAATAGGAAAATTATTAGTTTTCTTACTGGTTACAAAAAGCAGCAAGAAAACTAAAGTATTTCCTGGGTTTATTTAACACTCTGACTCTGATTATACCAATCACCTTTTTCAATATGTCATCATTCAGTTTAATGACTCTCCAAACATCACACGAAGACGTTCTTCTTCTTCCATCCTTTGCATGTCAAATCCTGTCGCCAGGCATGAGCCTTTCTAGTTAAATGAGCTTAAGGGCGTTTGATGAAAGCAACGTGCATTTAGGCGTTTGTCACCACTATTTAATAATAACTTATTACTGTCAAGGGGATTAGTAAAAGGCATCTTGCGAGTGGAAAGAGAGCAGAGTCAATAAGCTTGTGGCTTTGGAAGCACTGATGCTAATTTCTGCCTTGCTTCATTCCCTCACAACAAAACATATTGGATAGCATTCTGTCTAATTAACTCTTCTGCGGTTATGTTGTCCATTCAATCAGTCACATTTCATGTTAACCTCAGCAGATTGGATTGCCATTGGCAGGAGAACGCAATTGTTGAGACACCAATAATAACATTGTGTTTTGTGAAAAATGTCCAGGCAGGCAGTTATTTGGAGAAAGTACAGGCAAGTGTGTCACCTTTTAAAGACCTTCGCGCAAACCATGTCCCCAAATTGTGGACGCAGCATTGTGAGTCCATAAAAGAGGTGAACACAACATAGTTACTATGTCAGTTTAAGTAATTTAGAACTCAAAACAAAAACATAAAAAAACTAATATTGTCTAAACTAAAAATCCCACTTTCCCCCCATGATGTGGCAGAAACTTGGTATAGTCCGGTTGGCCACTTCCTCTATTCATCTGCTCTGCTTTCGTGGGATCTTTTTGCACAGGCCTGACCAGATGTGATCCACAGCAACCTTGCACTGGGAAGTCAAAGAAAACAATGAGGGTAAGTTAAGACCAACTTAAGTATAGACAAATTGAGGCGTGGCTGTTCAAAAGTTAAATAATAGAATAGCTACAAATAGAAACCTACTAAATATACTACAGGGATGATAGATGATGCTCGCTTACTGATGTGCAATGTGGATGTGATGTGCATGAGGTCAACAGAAATTTAAATGAGAAACCATCAAGTGTAAATCAAAGACAACTAAGGTGTGTGGCATCAGGAGAGTTACTGGCATTTAAATCAGCATCATCACCTTCCTTTTAAAGCTGCACTAATCAATACTTGTATGAACAATAGATCAAATGATTATATATAACGTGAAAGTTGTTGCTCATAGTGATGAACCCATTTAAGCAGAAAGAAAAAGCATCCATAACAGGCCAAAAAAATAAGAATCTGTAACCTACTTTTGTTGTTGTGTTGAATAGTTATCCCTCTTTGCTGTCTAAAATAATGTCAATGTGTTTTTTTAAAAATGCATTAATGGTTTTCTATTATCAAAATCTTTGAACAAACATCAGACATGCTCCTTTTCCTTCGGTTTGACCACAGTGTTTAACTGCGCTTTACTGTGCTGTGGATATATCACTCACTGACACCCACTGAAAATCCCACCGAAAATCGTAAATTGCACTGTGTGTGATCTGCTCGGGTTTCATTGGATTTCACGACCTTTCCTCAGGTAAGTCTTTCATCTTACAACTCTTTGGAAAGTGAGAAAACTGACAGGAAAAAGTCACCAACCTCCCTGTCAGTTCGCTCTGGGCCATTTCAATGTACTTATCATAAAAATCAGAATACATTCTAACTCCATGCAGGTTCAGGGTTTGACGACGGAAATTTGAGTAACGGCAAACTGATGTTAACAGTGAATATTTGGTTGCTTGTTCAATAAGGTTCAGGAGTTCGAGATTTGTTCTGGATAGATAGATATACCAAATGAGATAAAACGCCAAGTTCATGAGATAAAAAGTCAAACTTTTGACTGAGTAAAAATTATGAGATAAAAAAATTTAAATTATGAGATAAAACATAAAAGATTTATTCTGAGTCAATATTACAAGATGTCAATATTTTGACTTTTACTCTCACCTGCAGCTGTGCTGACTGAAGTGCTTTTGTGCTTCAGTGAACCACATTGTTCACATTGCTCTTTGAACTGAATGAAGTGATTCGAATCAGCAATCATGTAGAAAGCTAATTTGCATTGTTGTGCAGAGTGTGTGGCTCTTGTGTTGGCTGCTGTGTGGCTCAGTGTGACCACCTGCTCTGCTCTTTCCATGACAGAACGCTTTACGCAATATTTGATTGGCTTTTGATCAAAAGATCTCCATCTGTGTAGACCATGAAGTAGATGGCTACCCCAACGGCATTTCATTGAGAATTAATGCAAAAGGGGGGGCCATCATGAAACTAAAAAATGAATTTAAACCTTATGTCTTGTGATGATTTCAGTCTATCTGAAATTCAGATGGACTGTAAAATTTAAATTCTGACCATAATGAATTGAATTATTACAGAGCAGTAACAGATCTCTGGTATCTTGTGTAAATTACAAGTCTTATCATTGGGCTGATTTTTATTAGTGACACTTAAACTGTTGCTTTTTGTCTCCTGCAGTCACTCACATATGCGTGTATAGGTATAATTTCACTTCCAGTTTTTGGGGGACAAGAAACAAGAAGAAAAAACAAAAATAAAACTGTCTTTGCAGTAGCGGTAAAACATGTTGAAACATGCTTGAGCTGAAATCCCTCTCACACAATGTTACCTAATGCAGTCTTGAGATTCAGTTTCACATGATTTCAACAGAGGCATGAAAATATTCCACTATAGACATTTCCTGAGATACCTTCATAACAACATGCGGTCATAAGTTCATGCTTGCATGGAGAAGTGAGGCGGTTACTTTATTTCCTGCCTTTCAACTCCTCTACCAAACCAACACCCATTTAATGTTTCCTTTCAGTATCTGGCACAACCTTTCAGCTGTGGTTCCTCATTGATTTATGTCAGTTGTTAGAGTTTTATTTGTGCCGAGTTCATCATTTCTTTGGATTTTTTTTAGGTAAAGGTTCTGGATGACAGAGTATGGAGAAAGTTCTAATTTTTCTTGTGATGTTAGCAGGTGTAACTCATGGTAAGATCCTCATCATTAAAGAAATAAGCAAATTAAACATTTCGCAAACCCATTGAAAGAGCATTAAAGCATTAAACTCATTTAAGCTGATTAGTATATTCTTGTGAATATATCTTTCTCACCTTTCTTTCAGTTGCTGAGACTAGATGTAATAGCACCCAGAACACATATCTGTGCTCTGTCACTCCTGGAGGATCTGTGAGTATCCAAGTGATAACCAATGCCAGCGGCCATCAGGTGTGGTGTAAGAAACAGCTTCCCAGTGGATCTATCAGTGTGTTCACCCTGAAGAATGAAAAGCTGACAATAAACAAAATATTTAGCAACAGAACAGAGTTTTTCATCAACAACGGGACATTCATGATGACAAACATGGAGAAGAATGATTCTGGTCAGTACATCATGGAGGTGTTTGATTCAAAAGGAGTCCTCGTGAGAAAGATTGATGTTCAACTGGATGTTGAAGGCAAGTATAAAAACAGTTCATTATCGCTTCACCATCATGAAAATACAAAACACAATCTGCCAATGTCTGCGATGTAAGAACGAAAACCTAAGAATGTAGAATTCATCAACATCAATCATAGACTGTTTTCAGTTCATTGAGTATGAACACTCAAGGCTGTACAGTTACTTTCAAAAACTACCACTTCTGAGAGCTGTTACTTCCTCTGTCTGGTGACCTTTTCTCTTTTTATCAGCGATGTATATGAATCAAAATCTACATAAAAAGTTATTAAAGTATAACCATGCTTTCTGTTCGGTCACAGATTATTTCTATGTGAGCTTTATTTAGCACTGATGAAAGATGGTGTGAAGAAGGGGCGCTTGTGGGGTACATTCACAGGAAATGGCTGTGGTTTAACGGGAGGTTTCGGTATTTGTCACCTTGTGTGTGTGTGTGTGTGTGTGTGTGTGTGTATGTTTTCTTTTTAATATGAATTTTGCCCATGACAATTTTTTTACTAACTAAGGAGTGGAAGGTGCATTTGCTATAGTTTCATGTTTGTTTGTATGTTTGGCTTTGTACATGTCAAATTTGTCTTGCACTTTATTCTCAGATTTCTCTGAGAATAAAAATCAAAGCTTGAAATTAAGCACAACCTTGGTTCAGGCAGAGCACTCAAGTCACGCCTATATGTAGGCTGACTGTGCTCCAGGTGACTGCAGCATGCTTTACAATGATTGACTCATTCACATGTGTGTAGCTAGCAATGTCCAGTCATAGTTATACTCATACACGTATCCTGTGTTGGACATTATTACCTGACGCTTATCACTGTTACTCTGCTGGTTACGCTCATGCCTCATACACTCTCTCCACCACCCCAACCTCCTCCATATTTTGTATTGTTGCTTTAACTAAGATTTAATGTTCATGTGTTCATTAAGGGGGGCAGGGACTTTTCAATCACACCTAACTGTATAACCATTTTCTATAAATGGTCAATTTGTTGACGTAGGTTTCTCTGACTGAACAGCATATCATAAAGCAACAGCTGTAGATCTCAGATCAAACTGTTTTGATGTTTTAGTCTGAGTTGATGTATGACAGTCTGCCAAATGGAGCTCCTTGATACTTGTATTTGGATCTGTTTATGGAGCACTTAAACACAACTGGATGCTTTATTTATTGTATAATGGTGGTTGATGTGGTTGTGTGAAACTGCAGGGTGTGTACCTTTGTCATCTTAGTTTTTGCTCTCATTGCCTGGTGAACAAAATGTGATATATATAAAAACACACAGATTTTTACCTCTAAGTCATATACAGGAAGTGAATATATTATATATAATTAACAGTGTGGCCTCTTCTTTCTAGAACACGCTTTTTCCATCCTGATGCCAGTCTTGGTTGGAGTGGGTATTCTACTGCTACTGATTTTTACTGTTTCTTGCTGTGTGTGCAAGTGTCGTAAGAAGTCAGGTAAGACTTAATAGGCTTGCATGTGATCAAAAAAGGTCAATAAATAATGACAGCATATCAGTCAATACCATAATATTTTGGTGAAATACAGCTGCTTTAAGTGCTGAATTCTTTTCTTTTCTTTTCTTTTCTGCAGACTCGGGGATATAACGGAGAACGAACATATTCATAATGAGTTTGGACTTTGATGAACTCACCTGTGGATCATTATCAGCCGACAGTGATCTAATGTCTCCAAGAGCCAACAGCAAACAGGACTTTTAGCATAAGTTAAGAGCTGGAAAAGACTGTGGAGTTTTCTTTTTGTATTTGGCATTAACACTGAAAAAGATTTTGAATAGAAAACACTTGTGTAACAATGGTGAAATGTTATGTCCTTCATGTTGATCTAATATTAGTATAACAGCTGCAGCAGCTGTGTAACCATATTTGTGAGGTCAGTGATCAGAATAAAGTGGTGTGAATCTTTGTACTTTTGATCTCTTTTCTTTTTTTCAAACACAGGGTTATTTTTTTCTTTTTACTTCACTTCAATATCAGTGGTCTGTTTACACAGGTTAAACATTTGATACATATGGAAGTCGAATGTTCATGTTCAATTTGTCATATTTATCAATAGAGATTTGAATATGATTTTGTGACTGGAAGTTTTACATAATGGGAGGATGTAGACAATGGCAAAGGCTTTATGGAATTAAGAATCACTATTATTGATCGTCATAAAACGTTTTATTGATGTAAACAAACTTTTAACAGCAACAGAAAACATTACTGACTACGATGTTAGTGCTTGTACTGAAGATTATATCTATCGAAGACTATCAGGAGGTAAAGTGACTAAAGTAATTTATTTCTAAAGCGCGTCTGTCCGACTGGTATTAGTTGATACCGAAGCCAATTAAACACATAGTGTTGTGACAACATATGCAGGCTGTGTTTGGGTTCACTTACATTATCTCATGGTTAAATAACATTTGTTTACTCTATGTTCGCTTTTAAGTGTAGGTTTGTGTTAAGTTTTCAGGGTGGATATGAGAAATGTGCTTCATCGTGTATACTGTATGTCTTAGCAGTGGAGACACTTGTTTTTAATAACGTGATTTTCTGTGTAGAAGAGTTGAAAGTTAATCGTTGTAAAACTAAAATGAAATCTTGAACCTCTTCTGTTCTTGATTATACTGGTGTCTCACTTTGTCCAGTATCACTTTGAATAAAGAGAGATTCAACACTGTGCACACATGAACACTGTCCAAATGCTTTCATTGTGGGACTCTATGTCCATGGATCTAAATTTGGATGAATTACAACAGGCAGAATGTAAATAACAGGAATAGTAGAATAAAAGAGAAGATCTTTGTGGGGAAAGATGTGTCTGTGGTTAATACTGTATTTTGACAGTTTTACGCAAACATTTTTTCACTTCCCACACAGCTGAATGTAACGCAATCCTTTCTCATATATTATGCTGCAACCTAACATGTCATGTTTACACATGGAACTTCAGAAAACATGTCACAACCTCTGCTAAGATTCTGGACATGGGCATCTGTTTACGGGCTGTGCCTCAGTTTTCTTTCACTTTCTTTGAAGTCCATGGAGAATAATTTGAGCATCTAGTCATCATGTTCCCAACATAAATTTGGTACTTGCTCAAATTATGTATGGCTTGATGATGGACATGAGACTTTACTCTGTCAAACTGGCCTCATACGGTGCACACAAGCATTCTGGGTATGAACACAACATCAACTGCCCTGCTAAAACATTGTTTACCTAAGTTTCATTAGATGATGTTGATTTTCACTTTTTCAGTTAGTTGGATACAGTGCAAAAGTCAGCCATATTGTATTTTTGTATGTGTTGTCTGTAGTGGTGTCATATGTGTTAACTTGTTTCTTGCACCACAAACTGCATGTACTGATAGCCACTTCCTCTTCCCCCTCTCAAATACAAAAATAACCTGCTCAATTCTCAGAACTTTGTATCTACAGCTGACAGGTCACATTTCAGACTGATCAGTGTTGGATGTGCATGTTGGCACTTAGGTGAAGAAGAGGAGTTTGTCTGAAAGCTGCTGATGGGGTCAACAGAGGCTGAACAGTGAGGAGACATGAAAGCTGTGGTTGGACTGTTGCTGATGCTGCTCGGAGTCTCTCATGGTGAGCTGCTCAGATTTTTTCAACACAATTTACTGGATTAAGTCTGTCTGCATCTCCAGTGATGTGTTATGGAGCTCAAACATTGACCCTCGCTGGGACCAAATTCATTCAAGCATCGTGACATGGAAATGAATTAAATATAATTATGTTATTTTAACTTTTAACTGCAATTGACTGGCATAAATCTATAACGATGCAGAATAAAAGTGAAAGCTTTCTTTTGTTTAATTTTCAGTGACTGTTTGTGGATGACTTTTTTTAAATAAGAAATTAACTTTACCATTGTTAGCTGTTTTTTTTTAATAAATAAAATTGAAACTCAGATACAAATGACAGATACAAAAGATACACAAGAGCACAAGAAAAAGAACATTTTAAGCACATACTTCAAATTGACATTTGATAAAACTCTTGACAGTGACTTACTCATTAATGTCTGTAATGATTCTGGTTGAATCTGTGATATAAGGCCAAAAAGCAAAAAGATGTATGTCTTATTTTATTTTAATTACTGTACATGAAAAGGAGGATAGCAAGATAAAGCTAATGCCGAATCATAATAACACACTGTCACAACACAAATACAAATATTCAATAACTAAAGACACTGCTAAGGGGAGGGGCTTCACGTTTGTGTGCGAGTTGTTAAGTGCAATGATTTGCAGTCATATTTCATGGCTCTATTGCACAAGAAGTCGTTCTTGTCTGCATAATGAGAGACTGTGAAATGAAACAGTTTACACAATTGAAGTTTGATCTTTATTTTTTTTTTCAAATTTTTCATATCAAATTTCACTCAAGTTCATTAATTAATCCAATTTGACTTCCTACAAGTTGCTTTAAAGTTCACTGCGTGATACTTCTGAGGAAACATTGAGACCTGAGACACCATGTTTTTATGGTTGTATCTTTGTTTAAAGATAAAATCTAAAACACAGCCTAAAGTATAATTTGTTATTTTTGGTAGGTTTCTGGAACTTCATTAAAATTTAAAGATAAATGTGCACTCAACAACACAAGTGTCAATGACTGTAGTTAACTTTACTTAAACACAGAATGTTTGACAGAAAATGTTATAGTAAAGTAGCTAAACCAAAATTGTTCACCAGTCACAGACCTGTGTAATACTGAGCTGCCAATGAATTACTGCTGTTTGCATATTTTAAGGTACTGGTAGTCAGAAAGAGACAGACGCAGAAAACATACTATTTATGTTTTTGATTTAAAACTTTAACATAATTGCCCATTCATAAACATTTCAAAGTTCTCTCATTTCATTAAGAATTGGAATGATAAAAATTGTTTTTTTCTTAATATCAGGTGTGGAAATCTACTGTGACGGCAGACAGGATGGAGCTCAGTGTTATGGAGCTTTGGGAGGAACTGTGGTCCTCCGGCTGATAGCCAGCGCCTCAGAAATAACTAGATACCAATGGAAATTCAACACAACAATAATATTAAGTGGGAAAAAGAATAGGATTGACTCTAATCTGAGAGCAGACAGATCCTTCTTTACTCCCAGTTATGGAACATTTAGGATCAATAACCTGAGCAGGGCTGATGGTGGTGAATATACCCTAGAAACATTTGATTCCAGTGGACACGGTTCAAAGCCTCAGACTCTACAGTTGTTCATTCAAGGTAAATAACTTTTTTTGCCTACTGGAGAATTTAGTAATATTGATATATCTCATATTCTACAGATAAACTACATATATCTCATAGTCTCCACATAGCTGTATTTTATACCTATTGATAGCAACATAAACCAGTGAGTGTGTTTCCTCAGCTCCTGTGTCCTCTGTCCGGCTGGTCACTGAGTGTCTGTCCCAGGGAGAGATGAGGGCGTCCTGCTCCTCTGAGGGAGGGGACAGTCCTCAGTACAGCTGGACTCTGGGTGGACGCACACTGACACGCACTGAGCTCCTCTCTGGAAATCATGAGACTAACAACATCACTCTGAAACAACACGTCTCAGCACGTCTGGTCTGCTCAGTCAAGAATAATGTCAGTCATGTCTCCAAAGAGGAGACGATATCTAACTGTGGTGAGTGAGAACATGAGATGAAAACAGTTTGTTGATATTGACACTGATGATTACGGTCACTCTGTACATCAGTCATGGTTAATCTGTTTCTTTCCCATAAGGCTTCATCTTCATTAATTGCACCTCTAATGGGAGGCGCATATCACAGTGGGTGTTTGCAGCCAATAACACACTGTGTATTGAGTCGACAACAGCCCCTACCACGGTCACAGAAGTGGAGCCCTCCACTGTGGGTAAGGAAATGGACTCCACTCACATCACACCTTTCTATCAGTCTGGATTTCTCCAGCACAGACGACCCACGGTACATTTTAACTGTAGCTCTATCAACACAGGGAGCTATCTCTCATCCAAGTGTAAACACACATGAGAGTTTACCTTATGTATGTTCAGCAAGTCAACCTGGGATTAATCTGTAAAAAATAAATTGCATAAAAATGTCGTTGTTCACTAACCACTGTACTTCACAACCTACTGGGGGACAGAGTGACAAGTTCAGAGGGCAGAGAAGAAGAATACATAATGGTCAATCATCACTGATTCTTCCATTAAACATGCAGCTTTTTCATTTTAAAACAGTATGAAGTGGGATTTTAAATTTTTGTATGAAATTTTAAATTAAATTATTTTGACATATGTATCGTAAAAAAATTGTCACCCAATGTAAAAAAGTTTAGTGACAAGGAGGAAATTCTTTTGTGATTCACACAACCTTTTGAACAACTATTGTCCAAATCTTGTATTTTACATTGTCATGAGCAGATCTAACTTTTCTTCAATTCAAATGATTAAACCAGCAATAACCAATATATCAAATGACAGTGTGAAAACTATTTGACAATGTGAAAGGTGTCGGTCATAGTTATGAACCTACAGTGAATTATCGCCTGAATCTGCAGCTCCCTTCAACTCTACAGAGCTTTACAGAGAGATTCAGCTCACTGTTTAGCTGTTCAGCCACGACTTTACTGTTTTGTTCATTCTCACCACTTTCAGGACATTGTTTTCAGGCACAGCAGGCAGCTGTTTTCAGAGAAGCTTTAAGTACCCACTGTACACTACCAACTCAGCATCAAACAACAGACAGACATTTAGCTATTGGTGAACGTAGCGGAGCATTTAGCAGCTAAAGAGTCAAACATTTCCCTCAGCAGTTGGTAGAGAGCTAGAGGTACAGAGCTAAAAAAGAGTAAATATTGTACTTACATTGGCCAGGTGATCAGACGCATTAATGAATAGTTTTTGATGATTTTCCTTATGTGTAAATAAGCAACTGTTTGCTAAAAAGTTCACCATATCCACTTAAAAGGTGAAGATATATCAGTGTTGTATTCACAACTTTTTTCATTTTTTTATTTTTAGTTTATAAAAAAAATACATCTAATTTTTCAATTCTCTCTTCTCCAGGTGTGGAAATCTACTGTGACGGCAGACAGGATGGAGCTCAGTGTTATGGAGCTATGGGAGGAACTGTGGTCCTCCGGCTGATAGACAGCTTGTCAGAAATAACTAAATACCAATGGAAATTCAACACAACAGTAATATTAAGTGGGAAAAAGAATAGGATTGACTCTAATCTGATAGCAGACAGATCCTTCTTTACTCCCAGTAATGGAACATTTAGGATCAATAACCTGAGCAGGACTGATGGTGGTGAATATACCCTAGAAACATTTGATTCCAGTGGACACAGTTTAGGTCATTGGACTCTACAGTTGTTCATTCAAGGTAAATAACTTTTTTTGCCTACTGGAGAATTTAGTAATATTGATACATCTCATATTCTACAGATAAACTACATATATCTCATAGTCTCCACATATCTGTATTTTAAACCTATTGATAGCAACATAAACCAGTGAGTGTGTTTCCTCAGCTCCTGTGTCACGTCCGGCTGGTCACTGAGTGTCTGTCCCAGGGATTGATGAGAGTGTCCTGCTCCTCTGAGGGAGGGGACAGTCCTCAGTACAGCTGGACTCTGGGTGGACGCACACTGACACACACTGAGCTCCTCTCTGGAAATCATGAGACTAACAACATCACTCTGAAACAACACGTCTCAGGACGTCTGGTCTGCTCAGTCAGGAATCACATCAGTAGTGTCTCCAAAGAGGAGACGATATCTACCTGTAAAGGTGAGACAGACCATCACAAGAGTACAACTTGATATTGATCATCACAACACTGATGATTATAATCACACTGCAACTTAACCGTAATTGATTTGTTTTCTTGCTTAAATAATTCAGTAATGTAAGTAATGCCTTGTTAATCAATGAAGCAACAGCCTCACACAATCTATTGTCATTATTACAATGTCACTATCAATAGATATTGACATCTTTATCAGTCACAGCAACTGAGACCTCCACCATGGGTCTGGACACTGGCATCATAGAATCCCTTTAACATGAACTTTGCTGTGATTGTGCTAATATCTAACAATTGGTCTTTGTGCCTCTTGTTTGAACAGATCCCTCCCTGCTCATATGTGGTTTGCTCTTCGCTGTGGCAGTTCTTTCAGTGGTTGGGATTGCCATGTTTTTTCATTTGAAGATGAGGAAATACAAGAAAACCAAAGTGCCTGCCACACCACGAGCAATGGAGTATTCAGAGAACTCCTTTTCGGTGGTTGAATTGAGGAGTTGATCTGATCATTAACATTTTGGTTATGCAGTTCATCTCTACTTCTAAGATCACAGGTGGAGACCTCAGACATTTTCACCTTGTCACATCACTGGTTGTTGACTTAATGAAAGTGATATCATGACATCTGTAACAGAGAATGAATCAAAGCAAAAGGACACATGAAACACGTGAAAATGATCAGTGGAGTCCCACATACTACCTGCCTATTATCAGAAGACTTTTGTCGCTAATTTAAATAGTATATTAACAATATTAAGTGTTGAATTAAGTGTTACAGTACAATCACAGACACTTTAGCGCTAAATGTATTAGTAACAACTTTCAGCTGTAAGAATCAGTGAATCAGTTTATCCAGAAGCAAAATGCGTAATTAAAGTGTAAATAAAGCTTGTATTGTCACATTAGAAATGCAACTTGTGATGTTATTTGGAAATTAGTTTAATGTAGATTTTCATGTTGTTTTTTCTCACTGCTATATTGCAATTGTTGTTTTTTTTTCACTTTTTAAAAATGTATAAACATTATATATATGATGTGTTTTGTATATTCATTAATGTAACTGAAGTGTTTGACTTAGCCAAGTGAATGATGTAATTCATTATTTTGTTTTTCACTGGATCATATTTGGGAAAAAGTTCTGTTTCACTTCCATGTTTATAAACATCACTGATGTAAACAAACTTTTAAAAGATTTTAACATTAAAAGCTTAAATTTAGTTGTTTTATAGTGTTTTGTTTTCTTAATTAAAGCTATCAGTCAGTCAATCGACCATGTGTCTTGATAATCACAGATTGTACCTTTAAAAACAGCTGAGTTTCATTTTATTCCAGACCATGCAGAAATAGATAAACACTTTCATGCTAAAGATTAAATCCAGGTAAAAAGATCATTGAACCATATCATACGGTGGCCCACGGGTCAACACAGATGCAAAAGCCACAACATGACTTGTGGCTTTTACATTTGTGTTGTGGCTTTTGCATTGTGTTCACCCATCGGGCCACTGTTTAATAAGTTTTCTGTTGCTTTGACATCCTTCTTTCAATATAATGCAGTCCAGTACAACACCGCTAGTAACTGTGACCTCAGTATAAACATATGATAAGGTTTACACGTTTATGACAATGTCATCAAAAACCGTCCATTATGAGTGTCACAAAGACAGATGTCATGGCAGGGTTACTGTATTGGATTACTTTATGTTTTACAGGTGAACCTAATAAAGTGGCCTCTAAGTGTATAGAAGTTAGAGTTGTCATAGACATATCAATATGTGTTTGATGGTACTGTAAATTAAACACAGAAAAATAGAGGAACAACAATTAGAGAAATGAGAGAACTGAGGACGTAAAGTCAGCATCTGCAGGAAGAAGACAACGTGCGTTTCTTTCTTGGGCTTAAATTAGTTTCTAGGTAGTGACTATGTTCAATTCATTTCCCTTTTCACCTCCACACATAACAGTTCCACAGCTTCTGTTTTGATGCTGATCACTAACAGGAGTCAGTTCTGACTGGTCGGTGTCAGCTGTATGGGCCGAACACTGAGGAGACATGGAAGCTGTGTTTGGACTGTTGCTGATGCTGCTTGAAGTCTCTCATGGTGAGCTTGTTCACTATTTGAGATATTAATATTGGATTTGGTATATTGTGTGAAAAAGACATTTTGTGTTAAACAATCATTACTGTTGATTTTATGCAGCCATGAGATCAATCATACTCAATAACCGCACTGATTCCAGAATGGAAAGTAAGTAGTAAAGTAGTAAGTAAAGGATTTAAAAATGAATAAATTCAAAACTGAGCTGGGAACTAGGATTTCAGGGATTATTGTCACACCATGGCCCATGAAATGAAGCAAAACACATTGTTTAGTGATGGGTTAGATCTGTGTTCAACTGCCAGTAGCCTTAATGCTTCAATGTTGCAACAAACTGAAAACTTTCTGTGGGTTAAATTTAATTTGTGGAGTCTGTAAAAGCAAATGGAATTGTAAGAAACTTGGACACAAATCACAGAATGTGAGAACATTTTAATTTAATTTTTAACAGTGGCACAACTCTAACGTACCAAAGATTAGGATGTGAAAATATCAGGAGTCAGTCTCAGGGAATTTTAAAGGCCAAACAGACCTGTGTAAATCTCAGCTGCCTGTTCTCCAGCTGTGGTCCACAGAGAAATGTAGCAAGCTAAACTACACCAACATGGCAAAAGTAGTTTAGGCTACTACATCAGTAGTAGTTGTTTTAAATTGAACAAACTTCAAGGCAAATCAATGCCATCTCACTGATCAATACTTGATCAATAAAAGAGCTTTGCTATGGAAAATCTATTTGATTCAGACGACAGCAACATTACCACCACACTACTAAGAAGTATAGTTAAACTAGTACTACTGCCCAATACTGATTTTACAATATTTCATTCTTATTGTCATTCATTTTGTAAAGATAAAAAGATAAAAGTTGTTTACATCTTTTTCCAGGTGTGGAAATCTACTGTGACGGCAGACAGGATGGAGCTCAGTGTTATGGAGCTTTGGGAGGAACTGTGGTCCTCCGGCTGATGGACAGCGCCTCAGAAATAATTAAATACCAATGGAAATTCAACACAACAATAATATTAAGTGGGAAAAAGAATAGGATTGACTCTAATCTGATAGCAGACAGATCCTTCTTTACTCCCAGTAATGGAACATTTAGGATCAATAACCTGAGCAGGACTGATGGTGGTGAATATACCCTAGAAACATTTGATTCCAGTGGACACAGTTTAGGTCATTGGACTCTACAGTTGTTCATTCAAGGTAAATAACTTTTTTTGCCTACTGGAGAATTTAGTAATATTGATATATCTCATATTCTACAGATAAACTACATATATCTCATAGTCTCCACATATCTGTATTTTAAACCTATTGATAGCAACATAAACCAGTGAGTGTGTTTCCTCAGCTCCTGTGTCCTCTGTCCGGCTGGTCACTGAGTGTCTGTCCCAGGGAGAGATGAGGGCGTCCTGCTCCTCTGAGGGAGGGGACAGTCCTCAGTACAGCTGGACTCTGGGTGGACGCACACTGACACACACTGAACTCCTCTCTGGAAATCATGAGACTAACAACATCACTCTGAAACAACACGTCTCAGGACGTCTGGTCTGCTCAGTCAAGAATAATGTCAGCCATGTCTCCAAAGACGAGACGATATCTAACTGTGGTGAGTGAGAACGTCTGGAAAACAATAGAACAGCCCCTACCACAATCACAGAAATCAAGGCGTCTGCACTGTGGGTTAAAAACAGCTTGATGATGCTGACACTGATGATTATGGTCACTCTGTACATCATTCATGGTTGATTTGTTTCTTTCCTGTAGGCTTCATCTTCATAAACTGTACATTATGTGATGGGACGCACATATCACAGTGGGTGTTTGCAGCCAATAACACACTGTGTATTGAGTCGACAACAGTCCCTACCACGGTCACAGAAGTGGAGCCCTCCACTGTGGGTAAGGAAATGGACTTTGTGTCCTCCACTCACAACACACCTTTCTATCAGTCTGGATTTCTCCAGCACAGACGACCCACAGTACATTTTAACTGTAGCTCTATCAACACAGGGAGCTATCTCTCATCCAAGTGTAAACACACATGAGAGTTTACCTTATGTATGTTCAGCAAGTCAACCTGGGATTAATCTGTAAAAATAAATTGCATAAAAATGTCGTTGTTCACTAACCACTGTACTTCACAACCTACTGGGGGACAGAGTGACAAGTTCAGAGGGCAGAGAAGAAGAATACATAATGGTCAATCATCACTGATTCTTCCATTAAACATGCAGCTTTTTCATTTTAAAACAGTATGAAGTGGGATTTTAAATTTGACTCTTGTGTCACAGCCCTGACTGACATGATTTTTGTGTCTCTTTATTAAAACAGATAACTCCCTGCTCATATGTGCTTTGAGAGCATCTGTGGCAATTCTTTCAATCATTGGGATCACCGTCTATTTTATTTGGAAGAAAAAGAAATCGGAGAAATCTGAGGGCTCTGCCATCCCACCAACGCCAGAATATCCGGACAACTCTGTTTTGATGGTTGAAATGAGAAATTCCGCATATGAACTTTAACTTTCTGAAATGAACAGTTTAGTGTCGTCTCTCTTGCTGTGTTGGCTCATGTCTTCGTGGGTGTGAAATAATCATTGAGAGTGAAAATTCTCTGTGTTTTCATTCTCCATAAAACTACATCTGACTGTTGTGTTGATAGTTTAGCAGCTCACTGTGACTGCTTTTCCATTTTCACTGCACCACTGCCTTTGGAGAGTGATAAAACATCCAGAGGTCCACAGCTGCAGCTGTGATCACAGAGCAGAGAAAACATTAGTGGTAAATGTACAGTTGATCTATACAAAACGTTTTCTTTCATTTCTGCTGAATTAAATGACAGTACATAAAGATTAAAACAATTAATAGTAAATGTGAATATCAGCTGATGTAAAAACCTGTTTGTCCTGAAGCAAAATGTGACACTGTAAAACTTAAAGCATCACGTTAGCAGTGAAACTCATTTTGATGCCAGTTGCAAATGATTGATATGGAAATATCACTTTTCCATTTCATCACTGTACAGTGAAAACAATGTATATACAGACTTGGTGATTTAGATTTTTTCAGTTAAACTGAAGGATTAAATGTTGCTTGATGGGTTGAGAACATAACTCTTTCACTTCTTCATGTAAATCAACCGTTTTGCAACACAGTGGATTATCTGAAAAAGGAACTGTCACAAAACACAAATAGCAGAATTTACTTATAAAAGAAAAGTTGATGTTTTGGAAATAGGCGGTTTTCACGTGTGTACAGGTGCTTGGCTTAGTGATTTTGCATCAAAATATGTTTTTTAAGATTGTGTGTTTTTTTTTTTACACCATCATAAATTACAGGTATATTCACACATATGCTTAAAGTACATAACTCAGAAATGATGGAGTTATGTAGATAATGGTTTTGTGTTTTTCTCCCAAATTTTCAAACATTAATTGTATAAAACCGTTTAAAGCATTAAAAAGCAAGCTTTTTAATTTTGTTGTGTATTAAAAACTTGTCAGTCAGTCACTAATGTTTGATTTGTCGTCACTCAGTTTAGCCAAGCTCCTGTTTTGCTGACAGTTTGATCACGGACTGCACCTTTAATGACTGCAGAGAACCAAGTAAAACTTCCAGACTCATTTTCAGTTGTAGGAGGTGTGAGGTTTCCCTCTGCTGGTTTACAGAGGTGCCACTGTTGCTCACAGATGACTCTGTATTCAGTGAAACTCTCTGTTGAGAACACGCAAACATCAGAAAACATAATTATCATTAAAACAATTTTTGCATTAGCAGTACATTCATTCATTTTGCTGATACGGCCTTCAGAGGCTTCTCTGAAACAGTCTGCTTCTCTAGATACTGCATGTGAAAAATGCTGCTTTATTGCTACAAGTGCAATGTGTCAAGTCTTTGAATATTTCAAGCCATTTGCCTTCAAACAAGCTGCCAGTAGAGGGCGACCTAATCTAAGGCGACGACAAAGGGAGAGAGAGAGAGGGCGGAGGACGACATGATATATTTAACTGGTGAGCATCAAACAGGAACATTACAGAGAAACGACATGAGGCTCAGACCAATGTGAGAAAAGAGAAGAGTGTGAAGTGAGGTGTGATGTTTGAGCATCTTGTGTGTGTATCTCCACTGCAAATGAGGAACTGAAATGACCAACTGAGCTGAATAATCTTCTTCCTTTGACATGAAGTGACTGGCAGAGCAAAAAAAAACCCAAACCAAAAATGACATAAACAAATGTCTCCAGGAAGCTTTTTGTGACAAGATGTTTTGGTTTGTAAGGTTGCAGAAGTTTAGCACTGGAAATAATACATTTCAAATATAGCTGGCAGCTGTGAAGACCACTGATAAGCAGAGACTTGGATTTGTTAAACTGGCTTGTAGCTATTTTTTTGTATGAATAAGCAGCCTCAAAGTCAGGGGCGCCATAAAGGGGGGAAAAGTTAGGATGATTCTAAAGGCCCATGACTGACAGGGGGCCTCCCAAAAAAAAAAAATATTTTTTTTTTTTTATTTACCTTTGGGGAGGGGGCCCAATGGGATATTTTTTCATTGGGCCCAAAATCCCTGGCGGCGCCCCTGCTCAAAGTTCAACTCTCAGTTTGACCCATCTCAGTTTGATGTCAGAATATTGCTTTTCTCAGTTCGTCAAGAGCAGGAGAGTTTAGGTGGTCTATGAGGATAGTAGGGCAAGTATTGTAAAAAAAGGCAACAAAGGAATGAACTGTCCAATAATAAAGTCTGATGTTGTCGATTGCTGTTTTACCACTCCGTCTAGAGGTTCAAGGTGTGTAAAAAAAAAAGGATATTACAATAATTATTACTGCAGTAATCAAATGTTCAAAATCATATTATAAAAATTCTAATTCATGTTCACATCAGTTTCAATTTTTTCAACTCTATTTTAGTGGATCCTAATCCTTATTTTACAGACAATGTGTTTTCAAGTATGTAACCATTCACACTTCAGTGGTGTCTGTTCATCTAAAAACAATTTCCTCAGTTGGCTGAACATTATTCTCCATTATGTAAATCCAATGCAAACACGTTGATGTCCTTCACAGAATTTTTCACACATTTATCTGAAATTTTAACTTTGTTCTTTTTTTTTTTTAAATATCTGAAGATTTCACGTATTGATTGTTTGGTGTCTAAATAACTTTTATGTGCTCATCATGGCGTTGTAACAATGACCAACTGGTGGGTTTAGGGCAGTTTGAGAGGTTGAGACAGAACCTCAGGCTGTTAATTATGATTCAATTTTAATTTGTTATTATATGTGAAGGGATGAGGAATATGCACCATGATGAATCATATACTTATTTAGTCACAAAAGATGAGATGGAGAGACAAATCAGCTAACAGGATCCATTTTGTAATTGTTAATTTGACGGCACATGGACATCTCAGAAATGTCACATCTCAAATCCTCTTTCCGTATGAAGGAGGAATGTTTCTCTCTCCTTCACTCAGTCCATCAAGAACAGCAAGCCCCTCTTTTTATAGGCTCAAGGGGAAGTGAAACTGATATCACTTCCTGTTCTTCTCTCTGCCCACAAAAAGATGAATACAAGAACGCTCCACCTGATCAAAGTTTTGACACATTCTCCTCTGTGGCTGATCACTAACAGTAAAACATGCTGTTTGCCTCTGGGTGAAGTAGGTGAAGAGGAGTTTGTCTGAGAGCTGCTGACGGGGTCAACAGAGGCTAGACAGTGAGGAGACATGAAAGCTGTGGTTGGACTGTTGCTGATGCTGCTCGGAGTCTCTCATGGTGAGCTGCTCAGACTTTTTTCATGTGGCACTTATTAATTCTTTATTTAATACATAGATAATATGTTTTGTGCTGATACGTTTTTATGCAGCAATGGGGATCACATCTAGTCTTTTTGTTCCAAGGATCAATTGAACATACAGTACACTGAATGCACTTATGGTAAATATAGCAATTATGACATCCCTCCTTAAAATATCCCTTACATCACTTTACACATTAGAAACAAAACAAAACAAAACAAAAGCTGGTGTTTGACTTGTCATAGCAGGAAAACCTCAGGTGTTACTAACAACACTAACAATGGGTTTGTTCTGTTCACGTGTCCCCGTAAACCCGTACAGTGTGTCAGTGATCCAGCAAGTACAACACCAGGACCCTGAAAATGAAGCAGCTGAATGGAATTCAGCCATTGTTCATTTCATTATACACTTCTGTTTTTCCCACTGTGACATGTCAAAATGTCTGCAGTGGAAAAAAGCCTGTGGTTACAGGGAAAATAGCTGTGTTAGCTAAACCTCTGTAATGCTCAGCTGCACAACCATGAACGCCTGTTTGTACAATGTGTGAGAGAGACACAGCAGCAACAAATGCACTATTTCTGTTTTATTTGAATATGTATAAAACACTGTCATGGTCTTTGTGGTAAATGACATGATCAAAACTGATATTTAGGATTTTCTTTTACAACCTATTTTTCTAAAAGTTCCAGGTGTGGAAATCCACTGTGACGGCAGACAGGATGGAGCTCAGTGTTATGGAGCTTTGGGAGGAACTGTGGTCCTCCGGCTGATAGCCAGCGCCTCAGAAATAACTAAATACCAATGGAAATTCAACACAACAATAATACTCAAAGGGAGAAATAATGAGATTTACTCTAATCTGATAGCAGACAGATCCTTCTTTACTCCCAGTAATGGAACATTTAGGATCAATAACCTGAGCAGGACTGATGGTGGTGAATATACCCTAGAAACATTTGATTCCAGTGGACACGGTTCAAAGCCTCAGACTCTACAGTTGTTCATTCAAGGTAAATAACTTTTTTTGCCTGCTGGAGAATTTAGTAATATTGATATATCTCATATTCTACAGATAAACTACATATATCTCATAGTCTCCACATATCTGTATTTTATACCTATTGATAGCAACATAAACCAGTGAGTGTGTTTCCTCAGCTCCTGTGTCCTCTGTCCGGCTGGTCACTGAGTGTCTGTCCCAGGGAGAGATGAGGGCGTCCTGCTCCTCTGAGGGAGGGGACAGTCCTCAGTACAGCTGGACTCTGGGTGGACGCACACTGACACACACTGAGCTCCTCTCTGGAAATCATGAGACTAACAACATCACTCTGAAACAACACGTCTCAGGACGCCTGGTCTGCTCAGTCAAGAATAATGTCAGCCATGTCTCCAAAGAGGAGACGATATCTAACTGTGGTGAGTGAGAACATGAGATGAAAACAGTTTGATGATATTGACACTGATGATTATGGTCACTCTGTACATCAGTCATGGTTAATCTGTTTCCTTCCCATAAGGCTTCATCTACATTAATTGCACCTCTAATGGGACGCACATATCACAGTGGGTGTTTGAAGCCAATAACACACTGTGTATCAAGTCAACAACAGCCCCTACCACGGTCCCAGACACTACTGTGGGTAAGGAGACCAGTATCACAGTGTCAAATAAGCCCTCCATTACTATTACATCCTCCAATCAAACTGTGCCTTCCCCGAGCAGAAATCACCCATGGTACATTAGTAAGTGACAACAATTCTGCAGCAGTGGATTCATAGATGTCATTTCCCCATATTTTTTACTTTGTCTCTGTAAAAACACGCTTTTGCTGTTTTAACAACACGTATGTCTCTTGTGTCTTTTATTACTGAAACAGCCAATTTGCCGGCGTTGGTTGGTGCACTCGCAGCACTGGTAATTCTCTTGGTGGTTGGTGTAGCCGTCATCTATGCTCAGAAGAAAAAGAAAAGCAACGAACCCCAAGGTACAAAACAAAACTTCCCCTTTCCCAAACTCATCGCATTCATGTCGCTTCGTCTACCCATAGATTAAAAGAGTAGTTTGAACTATTTCTTTAACACTCCACTGCTATCACTAAGTATATCTATTCATACCACATTGAATATGATGTGTTTGTGACACTTCTTCCTTCCTCTTTGCAGAGGAAACCGATGAGCAGGAATTAACCTATGCAGATGTCAGGATCCTGCAGCGGCAGAGGGGGCAGGTGAAGCAGAGAGAGGAGGTGGAGGTGGAGTACGGCCAAGTCAAGTTTTCAGCGCGATCTCGGCAGACTGTTGAGCCAACAGGAGATAACTGTGTGTACGCCATGGTCCGTAGGTGATTTGAAGGGTTCATTGTCTGGAGGACTTGAACCTTAATTTAATGTGATTTCCCATTAGGACAATACAACCCATGAAAGCGCACACATATTGTGGTTTTCTTTACTTCTACTGTACTCCTGTACCTTCTTGTTTTTACCTTTTCCCTTAATTTATGAGCATATGAACATGTATTTCATAGTCAAAACACTGTAAACTTGCAATGACAATGAAAGAAATTTGTCATTACAGTGTATTTAGTTTTGTTACTCTACAGTGATGACAGACACAAACTGTCATCTATTGTATACTCTGAATAGGCGTCATCACTATGTTTATGTTGGTCAACCATCTGTGTTTACATGTGATCTAAAAAGGCAACTTTTAACTTGATGTCAAAGTGAAAGAGTTTGCAATTACTTAAATTAAAATGTATTTATTAAAGAAATGTGGATAGATTAGTTGGAGTATATTTAATAACCTCCTGTACAGTGTGCATTGCAAAATTACATTTATCAAAGTTTCGGTGCAGTTAACATCAAACTCTACTGTGCAGTCTTCCCTTAAATTTCTAGCCTAAAGATAAGTTTGAAAGAGGAAGAAAGAAATGTCTTGTCTCTCTGGAAGTTCAACATAGCAAGTATGTGGTTCCTGATGTAAGCACTTCTGCTTTTTCTCACGCATGAGCTGTCAGTCTTACAAAATAGTTTATCAGTTGCAGGGTGTGATATTTAAGAAAACCTAATTACAGGGTGTTCAAACCATTTGTGACATTTAACTTTTTTACATATTCCTTTAATGGAATGATAAGTTTGAATGGGTTGAGCAGTTTGAATCATACTGCCTATATAAAGTCAGGGGTAGACTACAAGTTAGTTAACGTTTGTGTGTTAGTAGATGGTAGTAGGTGTTGCCTGCAACTACAATATATGGAGTTACTTCTGAAATTTGAAATGGTTACACTTACAATTACTTATTAGTTAATACAGTGAGTTAGCAGCAGCATTGGAGAGACACGTTTTAAAAAAGTGTGTCTTCTTCTGGGGAGAACCGGAACAAATATAGTGTTGCTGTATATTTCAGTGAACTTGTTGTTATATTTGTACAGTGTCTAGTTCAAGAAGAACTTGATGTTTTCTTATCGTTTAACACCATCAAGCTACATTTCCTATATTTAGTTTGTTGTATTTCCTATTTCTCTGTGGCTTCCAGTTTAGAGTGTACCTGAATAGAGATATCAGTGTTACTGAACAATAGTAAGACTTAAAACTTTGTGATGACTGATTAATTTGGAATAAATGTTGAACTATTTTAGACTCCAACTTTCAAGGCTGGAGGTGAAACATTGTGGATATTCATGCTAATTATTTGGAGTAAATAGAAAATCAGCGCTGTTGACTTAGATGTTTTATGTTTTAGTATTAATAGTCAGTCATAAATGTTTATGATTTAAAAGATGTACAGCTATTTGTCCAAAATTAGATTAAGCTACACACAACTGAGGGCTAGATCAAGTAGATTAATATGTCATTTACAGCCATTTTTAATAGTGACACATTCACAGAGCACATTCATGGGCAGGATGTAAGCTTGTACAGGAGGGTTTCCGTAAGCTACCAGTAACTCTTCAGCTCATTCACGATTCAAAGGTTTTATTGTATGAACATGTGATGGATCAAAACTTTGAACCTTGAATGAGCAGAGGTTGATCACTACGTTCTCCTCAGCATAATTCCCTTCCTGAAAGGAGTGCTTTAATCACATAAAACAGCACAGCATTACATTCTGTCTGTCTATCAGTATGTCAGACTTCAACAGACAGCAAAGCACAAGAAATTTAATGTTTTCAAAAATCGTGGAATTAAATAACTTGCACTGAATAACTATACTTATTGTTATTAAGTTGGTATTTCTTCTGCTTGCAATTAGTGAATTGTTGGGCCTTAAGTCAGCAAGAAATTCACCCTCTATGGTTGGACCCCATCTGTTTCACTAAAAGGGTAATGGCCAAGAGCTTGTTTGGAATTGACCGTGTTGGTGTTAGAGCTAACGGTGGAGGGGTGGGTGGTGGTGCTGGAGTGGATGTGGATGAGGGGCCCAATTTGGAAAATTTAGTCCCCCTGTCCATAATATCTAATGGCTGATTTCAGTTCACTGTAACTTTAGGTCTTTTTTTTCAGTTCCTCTCTGCTGCATACTTCTTCTGTTGCATACTTTTTCAATACTTTGTCACTTCTGTTTTAAGCATCCACTCAATGGAAATTTCCAGTCTTAATCATTTTTCTGTCTTTTTTTTTTTTTTGGTAGTTATGTTAACATACTGTGCTTTCAGTTGTTTAATGTGGGTTTAATTAAAGACAGGTTACATGTTTGGTTTTGTTTGATGGTTGGTTAAGGGTTAAAGGTTGCCAACCATGGACTCCTATTCAGCTGATTCACAGTGCCATAAAATTGGCATTTATGGTCCATGATAGCTGTAGTGTCCTTAAACAACCACCTGAGCTCCTTTTTTCATTGAAACACATCTGAACACCTGACTGACATGATCTCCTGAGCAAATGATTGACAACACAGGAGAAGTGTAATAAACCTGCTCCAGTGATCCAGTATCATTTTGCCATCTGATCAGTCAGCCAGTTCTACTTTATGCAATATAATAATTGTGTGGGTAACAACTTGTTGAGCTTTGTTTCAGCTGTTCACCTTTTAATATGTGCATTACATAGTTTATCCAAAGAGATTAAGCTGCTGCACCTGAACTCTTCATAGGTTTGGTTGAACCACAATTGAACATTTATTTTTTTCCTCATAAAAACCAGGAGATTTTATCATTGTCGTGACACTTTCATGTGATGTGACCATGCCATGCCAAAGCCATTAAACTATAAAAGTAAGACTTTTGATTGGTGCCAGTTCTTCCGTTCTGGGTATGTCAGTCTTTGGTTGATGGTAACTTTCAAGTGACTTATAATTTAACATTTCATTTGAGAACAAACAAAAATATTGTTTGATGCAGCACTCTTTTTTGTTTCATATTCAACATGTGTACAGTACAGCTGATTACTATGCAACAGAAAGTAAAGAAATGCAGTGTAGAAAGATATAAACGTTACTATGAAAACATCTGTCATAAGCCAGGAGCTGAATTATTACACTGAAGTCCTGAAGCATATTAATATATACGTATGGTGCAAAACTTTGGTAATCTCAGGCCATAATTTCATTAAATGAATACATTAGTGGCCAGGTACTTTATACCACTGGTGCGTGTCTTCATTGGGGGCCTGAAGTTATGAAGAAACTTGTCTCTTTTGAAATGTTTCAGATAATTGTGGTGCAGTGAAAGCAAATAGACCCACAGCTGACTGAGTGTGGTTAGTGCTAATGAACAGAAAATTCAACCTGATCAATAAACCTTGGTGCTTTCTTTTCTTTTTTCTTCTTTACAAAAATGTACAGCAAAAGGCATTTTACAAATCTTCAACATATGAAAACCCACAAAAAAATTATTAAAGAACAAATAATAACAAGTGCTGAAGGAGAAAAGAGAGAAATCCTTCACTGCACACCCTAATTGCAAAAACACATGGGTTGCACAAGTTTGTGGTACAGAGGTTTATTTTAAAACAGTTTTTGCAGTCCTTGGTTGACTGGTTGAGACTAAATTTGCATTGCAACATTTGCCATTTTTCCTGCCGATTCTTTAAAGTGACTTACAAACAGCAACATGTGCAGGTGTGTTAACATTTCTTACATGTGTAATACATTATTATTTTTCAAACATACATAAGGGAAGCACTGACTTTCCTCAGTTGAAATCTTCTCACAGGTTCATGATTAAGATGAATGTCTGTGTTTAGTAGTAGAATGACCATAGATTGTGAGTCGTGCGGTTGAACTATCTACAGCTGTTTTTCAGGATGTGGCTAAACACTGCCGTCTGAATGTCTTTTTCCTTTTTAAACACATTTCCTCTCAGGTCCTTGCTTTTACCACAATGTTGCAAAAAAATTTAGAATACATGTCATGTTTTACACCCGTTTATCATTTCTTACTTCCTATATTTTTTCAACATTTCTGTGACTTTACCTCCTCCATTACGCTATATATAGCTTCCTCCCTGTGACTGAAACCCACTGGTTCCTGTGATATATCCTCAATTTTCAACAGAAAGAAGATAGAAAGAAGAAAAGAGCATTAAAGAATTGTTGAACTTTGGCATAACCTTTCCTTCCTTAGTAATAACAAACCAAAAGAATTAATCTATTTGCCATATATTAATTTTACTTCAGTTAAAAATAAGTGAGAAGCTGGTATCTGATATCTTGACGCAATCTGCTGTGACCATTTTAATTTCCGTGCTCAAGTATGATTTTGAGATTTATTTCCTCACATAGTTAGACCACAAAGAAAGAGAGACGAAACAAATACACACCATTCCTCTTTTCTTGGTCAGGTTGCAGATACGTGAATATACAGTACATGCGCATATCCTCTCTGTCACCATCAACCAAGAACATTTCAACATGCCTGTACGTTAAAGAAAGGAACTTCTGAAAACACAGTTTCATTGTCACTTTAACCACCAGTTCGTAAACACAGCACGTACGTTTGACAAGTGACAAGTTAAAGTCCTGTGGTCAGCAAACGTCCAGAAGAGACGATCAGTACAAAAGATCAGTGGTGCTTGTTAATGTGAGAGGCAGAAGGTGCAGCATTATAACATCATGTTGAATCATCTCCATTCATTCTGTGGTGAACTTATAAAAAAAACAAAAAAAAACAACTATGTACACATCAGATGCTCCATCAGTCTTCCATATGAAATCCACCTAGTATTCCTCTGATATTGCATCAGACAGAATGTTGCTGCTGGGGCTGGTGGTGACATGAATGTCAGTGGGTCCACCTACTACAGGTAGGGTGGGTGTAGTGGTAGAGGCCTGCTGGGAGTGCTGCAGCTTCTTCCTGTTGATTTTCCTCTCTTTGGCGCGTCTGTTCTGAAACCAGATCTTCACCTGAAACACAGAGAAACACAAACATAAGATATCTACTAACATCTTTACAAGGTAGTTGAATAGTAATAAAAACAGCAAGTGATTACGCATGACCGCTTTTTCATATGTCTTGCAGATTTGGTATCTTAAGTGGGACATTTTTGTGACAAACTGTAATGATTGTGCTTTTCGTGCTAACTTTCTCTTGCGCTGCTGAATCTACTTTTGCTCCTGTTATGTAATTTCCAACTTTCCCAGAATTACTTAAGGTGCCGCAACCATCGCACTCAGCTGTTGGTTTAACAAGTGGAATGAGTAGACAGAAAAAAAACAGTAATAACAATAACAGCATCAAGAAAGCCGGAGTGAGGGTTTCACCATTAATGCTACTTATGTGAAATGCTTTGTTTAGCCACATGACATTACGGTTTACAGAGGTTTTCTATCTTAAAGCTGGTTTCTCCAAATGGGATTGTCGAAGAACTTTCTGCTAATGTGTGCTGTGTTAGTATTAACTCTACATGATGGGACAAAATATACAGCTATCAGTATCAATGGTGTGAATCACATTAAAAAAAGAAACAACCCATTTCCTAACCCTCCCTTCCCTAAACCACCCCTCAGCAACTAAAAAAGCCATAAAAACAGGAACTAGTGTGGTCAATGAAAACAAACCAAATTGTTTTTCTCATACAGAAGACAGCTGTCACTTCATCCAGCCACATCCCCCATATTGACAAATATTTTTCTGCCTTATTACAGTCTTTAATTTGTAGGAGACTTTCTTAACTGTCAAATATCATGATTGAATACGTCTGCCTGGGCCCAATCCTTAAAAGATTATTTAACTGAAGATAAAATAGTAGATTTTTGTCTCTTTCCAAAGAAAATTTGATTTCGTCAGTGACAAAACACACGCTTGCTCAATCCAGTACACTCTGCGGTCTTAGTGCCACAGCCATACTTAGTGTGGTACCACCACTGGCTTATGCAGATACTGATAACTGCTGTGTTTGCTGTAATTGCAGCCACAGTTGTTACTGCAACAGTGACTACTGTTCAGCAGTAGTTACAGTAGTTATACGTTTTGAGGGAAGTTTTCAAGAATGAACTTTCATGCTCAAAAAGGAAAAAGATATGAAATAATCTTACCATCTGTTAAAATTGCTAATAGCTTTCTAACAATGTTAAAGAGTTTGGGGTTGATTTTTCCCTGCGATTCACACCTGCCTTTTTTCGTCATGTCCCTTTGATTCTCACCAGCCTTGCATTGTAACCCTTCCTGTACTTCCACCCACTTCTCTACTTACCTCTCTAGCCTTAACTTGAATTCCCTTCAGTCCTCTCACCTGTCTCTCGGAGAGGCTCAGTGCCATCGACAGCTCACTCTTCCTCCTCATGGTGATGTAGCGGTTGTGCTGAAACTCCTTTTCCAGTTCCAGACGTTGGTGGTCAGTGTACACCACCCTGTACTTGTCCTTAGTGCGAGTCTTCCCTCCTATGTCATGCAAAAAACAATCCTGAATTACACAACAAAACAAGTTTGGATGATTGATTGGGTGAATGTAAGTAAACAGGGTGTTATCCGTTACTGTGTATTTGTTTGTCTTCATTCCTAACAGTTATAGTAATACATAGAGGAATGATTATAATGTCAGTGAGTCATGTGTAGTGTGATTCGTGGCCAAATAAATGACTAATGTGAAGATGTCTGGTGCCACGTTCAAGTTCAGGCGCCACTTAAAGCCTCATCAACTCTATTAATCACGTTAACTATAACTAATGTAAAGACTCCCCACTGCATTGCATCAGTGGTTCTCCTTATCACCGTGAGTGGTGTTTACATAGGTGTTTACACAGGCAGCTATTCATTGACATGCGTGTTCTCACACGCACACACACGGATACACAGACAAACGCACACACACTCTTCGGAAAGGGTGAGTCTGTGAGTTACTGATCTGAAATCTGGACCAAGTGACAGCATCGATCGAGGAAGACCAAACAACACACACACACACACACACACACACACACACACACACACACACACACACACACACACACAGACAGATATCAGTAAGGCCTGAGGGCCTTTAGAGGAGGTTTGATTTCTGCAGACTTCCTGCAGTGACCGTGTTATCTAGCCTGTCTGTAACCCTTTTGCACCCACCCAGTGGACAGAGAGGGTGGGGAGCGTCACCTCTGTAGACTCCACTGTTAGCTTTTTATTGACATCTTGCTGGCGGAAGGGAGAGGTGAAAAGCTTGATGAATGTGTGTGCAGACTAGTTTGACTATGTTGAAATTGTTCCTGTCAATGAAAATGTGTTTTACCATATCTGTCATCTGTATTCCCACTCCACTGCTAAGGTTCATTTTGTCATGTGACTGCACCAAGGACATATCTCATGACAAGAATTATGTTTGAGCTTCCTTAATCATAGGGTCTTATCTAGATGACACATCCTGCTTGTTTATGGCATTTAAGATCTGATTTGTGATCAGAAACAAGATGACAACTTCAGGTGTATATTTCAAAGAAAAGCATTTCTCAGCTCAGTCAAGTGCTTAAATGTATAATTATATTTTAAGGTGGAGGCCAATGCTTAATCATACCATGCAGCCTACAAAAAGCCAACATGTTGACCTCTAAGGTCAGTATGTATGTTATGATGAAGTCCCACCTGAAACGGACGGTCTGATGGATTCATGTGGCCTCCTCCTGCAGCTGAAAGGGTCCTGTCCAGAGATTAAGTTATACGGGGTGTACGACCCTCCTCCGGCGGCGGTGGGCGTGCCGCTCAAATCCGGGGAGGTGAAGCTGACCTGCCCGGCGCTGGGGCTTGACCCCGGGAAGCTGTACGGATACTCCTCCCGGGGAGAGTAAAAAGGGTTCCAGGCACTCGTTGACTGGTCACCGACTCCCTGGACGTGATGATAGCCGGTGAAGTCATACGGAGGCGGAATGTACTGACTGTTCATTGACAGAGCCTGAGTCGGGTGTCTGACCGACTGTGAGCTGGGGTACATACCGGTGGCCTCGTCCAGACAGGTAGGGTGACTCTCAGTAGACCTCGGTGATTCAAACCTCCTGGCGCATGTTAGGCCTCCGTGTTTACTCCCGGCAGCCTCTGGCGCTCTGGTTTCACTTCAGTCTAAGGTAAGGCTTATTACTGAACCACCTGTGCAGTAAGACAACACACCTTTATAGATTTACTGCCAAGGAGTTCAAAAGTATCATAATGACGTCACGTTTTACCTGCGACCCACCTGCCCGCTCGTCTTGGCGACATGAGGCCATTGACCCTCATTTACCCGGTTTGCCCTGGTGGATCATTTTGATAAGGCCACTCATATAATGTTAGCGTGCCGTGCACGCTCGTGTGCATGTAAGGCTCATGTGATAACCAGCACAGATATTGTAAATTAAAATATGAGTTGGCTCAGTGGTGGTGGTGGTCAAAACCAATGCCACAATGTAAAAAATCGTAATATGTAAAAGAACATGTGTTATTGTTGAGGTATTAATTAGGCAACAGAAAACCTCGCACATATGTTCTGTAAATGCTGTCTCCCTACATTAAGCTTTAAATATTTCTCCACATGTCCAGGTATGTGGTGGATATGAAGTTCCTTTAATTGTAATTAATTACATTTAGTTACACTAAATAAATATCAGAAGCACACTTAAGAAAACAACATCAGTGTTACAGTGTGACATTATTATTACTGATGCATTACTGCGTAGGCTTAAAGTGACACATTTTACAAGATAATTGTATATTTTAAATGTTAAAGTCAATCTCTAAAGTAGTAACTGTAGATGTCAGACACATGTGGCCTGAAAAGCACAAGTAATATACTGTATGTTCAACAAGAATAGGTGTTGTGGATAAATTTGTACACCTGTAAATATTTCCCAATAACTGTTTAGTTTGAACAAAAGATAACATGGACTACTTCCTGTTTTCAGTCTCAAAAAACAGTTTGACTGTTATTCTTCATGGGGTGACAACAGATAATGGTGAGCTATTTATGATTTCCTCACTCTCCAAACTCACTCTCAGTTCTTTATATATGTGAATAGTCAGCTACAATATATAGCAAATACAGAAATTAGCCATTCAAATCAAGTGGCTCTATTTTCCACTAGATCCCTGCATAAAACAACCACATGAGGGCAGCAAAAAACTAAATACAAGCAGGTAATATTCCAGGTCTGGAGTCCTACATAGACGCAAACTTGCTGTTTACAAACATACTATATGATCAATATGTCCAAAGTTTATTCTTTATCCAACTTGCTGCAGGCTTTATGACTTTTCCACAATCAGTTGATGCACTCAGATTATCATACATTGAACTGTATATTCCACTTGACAAGCTTGTCTGTGGGTTCATCTGCATCTCAAGTCTGATCAAACATTCATAAAAGATTCATGCCAGTATCTTGGTCAGAACACTCATTATCAGCTATAACAGCTGTCAGCTGGTAGCATGAGGCAGGCTCATGTTAATGGAGAGAAAAGTGCCACAGGCCTGAACATTAAAGCAAGTGCAACATAAACATCAAACTTGTGCAGTCTATTGCGAAAAAGCTTGAAATACTTGAGATCAAAGCCACCAAGTAGAACCAACACGGCTAAAAATAAAGGGATGTGGTTTTAGCACTTACATTACACACATACATTTTTTATTCAGTTCCATTCAAAGGTGTTTTACTTGGCATGAAAGTTTTTAAAAAGCAATGCTGCCAAAGTGAAAATGTTCATCAAAATACAATTTGCAAAATACAAAGCGCAATGGACAACACCAAGATTGAGACTGCACTAAGCCTTAAATGACCCTAAAGTAGTACTAAAATGTCTTCAAACATTCAGACCCCAGAAAAGATTCTTATACTTGTAATTTACGGCACTTGTCTGCTGCTGTGTGCCAGAAATAAAAACCTGTGCTTTTTTCAGGCTGTATAAATCTTTAATATTTATCTAAATGAAGGGTTACTGTAGGGGACAATCCATGTATAGTGACTCAGTTTAAACAGTGCAGCATAAACATTGTTCCCATTGGTCTCCTTGTAGTTGTACAGACGTTCAAGTTCATCGAGGGGGAACTAATAAAAGGCTTATATCCTCCTTTGGCCAATTCTAAAAAGCTCACATGTGTGAGAGAGCTGCTGTAGGTGCCGAGACACACCCAGAGCTTTCATCCTCCACAGCCAGGCTTCCACTTAGACATATTACAGTCTACAGAAAAAGCCTGAAAGCAGTAAACAGTGCTAAACCCTTAGAGCATGCATGGCAGCCGAACGCTGAAAAGTTGAGAAGGGGTTATATTATTTAAATGTACAACAAGTACAAAAAGTGGTTATTACAAGTTGCGTAGTTTACTCAGTATGATCAGTCACCACTCCAGTCGTTTTATTTGATCATAGAGTGCGAGGTGGTCTGTATACTCACCCACTATGTCTGTGTTTAGACTTGCCCAATTAAAGATAAGACAACGTACAAATTTGATTTAAGTAATATTTCATGATGCAGGACCACATCAAGTTACTGTTCTGGATGCACAAAAAATATATTTTTCTTCTTGTAAGTTTTTATTGAATCTTTAAAACCAGACGTGGAAAGTGATTACAACTCAATAAGATTCAGTTTAGTCTGAATGCAACTAAACACAACAACAACATAAAACACATGATCAAGTGAGAAAAAAGTATCATGTGCAAATTTAACCTATTCTCCCTCTACTGTACGTCCCCCATTTCAGTCTCTCTCTTTTTTAAAAGACTTTTCTGTCATTGTTTCCTTTATTTGACACTATGCAGTAAGGAGCTGACAAGATGAGGCTCGCTCGTCACCAGGACGCCCTTAGTTTCATTAATTCCTCATGTCGGGCTTTTTATCAGTTTTATGATGTTAACTGAATTAGGGCTGTAACTCAAGATTATTTGCTTGTCTGATTTGCCAAATATGAATGAATGAATTGAACATTTTGTCTATAAAATGTAAAAAAAAAATTTGAAAAATGTCACAAGGAGGACATCACACCGAAGTAGCAGATCCTTATGTTGGAAAAGAACAAGGGAATGTTTGGAATTTTCGCTTGAAAAAAAATGTGCTTAATCGATTATCAAAGTAGTTGCCTATCAATTTTCTGTTGATTGATTAGTCAATAAATGTATTTATCCTGTCCTGTCCTGTGCTGCTTGAATTGTGTTGTTTTGCTTGCAGTGACATTATTCCTGAGAGGAATGAAACAGTGATGGGTACGATTGTCGCTGTTGTTGTTGTATATTAGACATATCTTCATTTTCTGGTTTTGACCTGAATGATGTCATCAGGTTGAAGCCATGAGGAGCCTCCGACTCAGGCACCCTTTATCAGTACAGCTTAAAATGGATTTGAGTTCAGATCAAATATTTTATGGCTTCATCCATCTTCATCTATCAGAGGTGAGTTGGGTTCAGCTCCAGGTCCAGACCTCAGCCCCGGTGCTTCCTGCTTCTACCTCCCTCCCCCATCGCAGGGGCCTCCATGGGGCCCAGAGAGATAACTTCCAGCCTTATCCAAAACACAGCAAAACACAAACTAGCAGCACAGTTGCACTAGTTGCACTTAAGCTATGGCAACAATCCAGATCAGCAGTGAGAGAAACCGCTCTTAAGCTGTTCAGATAGGCTGAATAGGCCGGGTATTGTTGTAGCAGAATGATCTGGCATCCAGTTTGTTAAGTGGTCCACCACTCTGTCAAGCTGTATGAATAAACAAAGACAGCTGCCAAATTTAAAGCAATAGATACCCCCTCGTGTTCTCTTTCTCACCACTCCATTGTAACAATATCCTAAATCGTAGATAATAACATAATGCAGTGTCTGTATTAGACGTGTCGTTCTTGTCTGTCTTAAAACTTCCACCTAGCGTGTCCTGTTAGAGCTGTGGTTTGTTGCAGGATGTTTAGACACAGTGTGTGTCTTATCTCCAGCTGATAAAGGACTTTGTGTGGAGGACATATTTGCATACGTGAATGTGATGTGTATTATTGTTGCCGTATTACCTGCTATCTCTTGTGTCTACATTTGAATTGGCATTGCACTAGAAATATGTAGATATGTGGGTAAACGGATGGATTTAGAACAGATTTATTGCAAGGAGGTGTTAATTACACAGACAGAATTAGAAAGACGTTAAGGTGGGACAGTCCTGCGTGGTGTTGCTCCCCTCCTATTTAATAACTGGGGCTTCAGTGGCTCTCTAATTACTGCTAGCAGGGCTTTTAGATTTACCCTCACAATTAGAGGAGAACATGGTTACTGTCCAATTTAGCCCCTGTTCCCTCCTCCCCCGTCTGCCCCGACCCCTTGTTAGAGAGAAAAGACCTTCGTCAGCTGCAGGGTTGTGTTATGAATTTCAAGCCATCCACTCATATCCTGGGAAAGGAAGAAATTAGGAGGAGAGCCAATGTAGAAAACAGACGTATTTGCATGGTGTGTGTGTGTGTGTGTGTGTGTGTGTGTGTGTGTGTGTGTGTGTGTGTGTGTGTGTGAGTGTGTGCGCACACGTGTTTGAAAGAGAGGAAAGAAAAGAGACAGAAGCGGGTGAAGACAGAGGGAGGTGTTGAGTTATCTTAAGTGGGACAAATGGAATAAAAAGGGAGAAAAATAGATTCACCATGTGAAAAATCCAGATTCACTCAAACTAAAACTATTCTATGTATTTAATTTAGTTTACACTTTATTCTAGCAGTGCGATTATATAAGTGAAGTTATTTTCCTGAGAAACTCAGACCTCCATGTTTGTTTCCAAAGCAGGCCACCACAAGCTCTGCCAAAACCTTTTTTTTTCCTGCCTGGACCTCTCACTCACTCTCTCACTCTTTTTCTTCCTTTTTATTGTGTTTGTTGTTTTATGCAGGGGTTAGATGCGGTCCAGATTGCTGTTGCCAATAGAGACTGTCTCAGTCTCACCTCCAGTTGCTCGCCACTCCATTCATAAACAAATCACTGCAGCTTGGGACCTCTGAGCTGCTACCTAAGAACAACAAGCAGAACTCGATCTGTATTTTGAAGTTTTCTCCCTCTGCCTTTTTCTCTCTTTCTCAGTTCACTCCTTTGTTTTTGAAACTTCCCTCTCTCGCTTTTTGCTCAACTCCCCTTCACTGTTCCCTCCCTCCTCTCCCTCTCCTCCTCTGCTCTCTCTCTCAGCTTCAGCAGGGTTGGACCACTGACACTCTCCTCGGTGTGAATCCGTCAGGCAAGGAGTGTGCATGTCTCCATTGGGAACACTTTTTTTTTTTTTTTTTTCTTTTTTGGAGAGGTAGGCAGGCTTTTTCAGAGTGTGAGAGTGGAGAGAGAGGAGACCCCATGTGGTGCTGTGATTTGACCAAACAAACAGCCTGGCTCAGAGCGGTACCTCCTCCAGCGGACTGCCGGGACAGCAGAGATTAACCTCAGACTCTGAACATCTGAGGGATCTATACATCTGAAGCAGTAGCCCCTGTAGAGACAACCAGCTGGAAACCTCTCCTCTGATTTCACAAGGTTGAGACCGACTGCTGGCCGGCAACTTCCTCGGACAGAGAGGGAAGATTTGTCTGTGCATCTAGGATCACTCTGAAGGTAAGAGGTCTTACTTCTCTGTCACTGTCAAGGATTTTACTTTTAGTCATGGCTGCTTGGCAGCTGTTGGCAGATGTGAAGATGTGCTGTACAAAGTGGTGAAAATTCACTTAGCCTGCATGGGAAGCCCACTGTGACGGATTGAATTTCATAGCTGTCTGTCTCAGAGAGGATGCACCTCATCCTCACAACTCTGGGCTGTTGGTTCATATAACTTTCTTTGATTTAAACTGATAAAATTATCTGATTTAATACCTGAAGACAAAAAATTCTGTTAGAAAAGTTTTTTAAACAAAGTCTGTTTTGTTGTGTGATGTTGTTGCTAGTTGATGGTAATGTGTCTGAATTGGTGGTATTTGTTACCCGCATACTTGAGTGTGTACACAACAGGAATTACAATGTGAAAGAGTGTGAACAACCTGTTCAAACACCAACATGGTGAGGGCTTGCATCTCTGTACATAGACACCTTTTCACTCTTTACATACTGAAACTCTAACAATGTTTATCTTCTCACTAAGAGAATACGTTTGACAAGGTATCCCAGGGTCCCTGACACACACACTCACACACACACACACACACACACACACACACACACACACACACTGGCCTTTATAGTACAAGCTGTTTGTATGCGCTCCACTTTGTGCTTCACTGCTAAAGGGCTTGTTTATACAGCCCTCCTCAGTCACCCCGAGTGAACTGACGGTCCTCACCGCTAAACCATCAGTCTCTTTCCTCCCCTGTGCCTGTCCCCTCTGCATTGCTCCAGGGAGAAGCTCTTTGAAAAGCCATGGCTGTGCAGTGATACCATGAGACCTGGCATCAGTCACTGTCACCAGCGTCCCCTTTAACTGTGAATAGATCTTCTTTTAGTACTAACACATACCAGCTTGAATTTAAAGCTTAATTGCTTTGGTCACCCTTCGTAAATGTAAATCTTTCATAAACCGGTGAGTCCGTCTCGTCTGAGGAACGTGGAGCCGAGCACAAATAAACAATCTGTTGAATCATCTCCATCCATTCATCACAGGAGAAGGTTTTAGTACCTGGAATCAGTTACATTATAGCATTGTGAGCTATTTCATGGCTGAGGCACGTGTGGCATGCATGTCTTTCCACTCTAATCCCGCCATATGTTTTGCACCTGAAAGCTTCCCCACTTCCCTCCTATGTATGGCTGCTGCGGTGTTTAGTTGTCGGTTTGGTTGGCTGCACATCCTTCTTCTGTTTACAGATGACCTTTTGGATATGGGAGCATCTGAATTAGCATCAGTCATAATAAAAACAGTGTGCTGTCGGCCTGCTGTTCTCCTCCTCTTCAATTAGGAGTTTTCTTTTGAAGTTCTCGGGCTCTGTTGATATTTTGGTCCAGGCTTTGCCTAGTACTGTTGCTGCAGATGAGCTGTTGGAAACTTGCATGCATGTCATACTTTTGCCATCAACGGTATTAGCCTGTGTTACCTTCATAACATAATTTCCCCATCAGCAGGATGCCTCTTGCAGGACATTTCACAGAACCAACTTGAAAACAGTAGATGTAGTCTGACGGATCTTTATAGCATGGATGTGTAAAACAAAGTGAAGTTTCATTTGTCTCCTGACCGGTGGGGATTTTTCTGCCTGTGCGTCAGGCTGCTGGTATGTACTACAGCAGAGCTCCACTCCCCGGGCCCTGATGCGGCGCGGCCCATTCGGCTCCATTCCCCTGACCCAGACCTAATCCTTCGTCATCAGCTGTTTCCTGGCTCTCTGGGCTCTCCACATGCCAGTCGCTCTGAGAAAATGTGCTTCACATTATGACCGTGCAGAAAACATGCCAGGAGTCTGATTCGGCTCACATGTGCTCTCGAGTGCCGATATGTAACAGTTTGAGCTCAGCAGCAAGTTTTGAAACACATTGATCCCATTCTGTCCTCTTGTGATTTTTTCCCCCGTGAGCTGAACAAACAGCTGTTGAATAACCACAATTTCAAAACTACTGTGACGTTGTTTATATCTGGATGAAGTGTATGGTTTCAGAACTTATTTTAAGCTCTTAGACATCGCATCACATGATTATTCTTACACTTATTGATGAGTATGTATATTTTATATTTAAATGTAGCGGTCTCTGACTCATTCGCTGGTGGTCACTTAATGTCTGATTCATGATTCATCATCCATACTTTAGAACTGAGCAATTGTTTCTTTGGAAGCCCATCAGTCATGCCCCTCTGGACACTATACTTAAGTCATATAGCTTTAATGAAGAGCACTAAGTGGTGCCTCAATACAGCATCCTGTATTGCTTCCCGTCCATCTGCCCCCCCCCCCTCCCTCCCCTCCATCCCTCCTTCTTCCCCTCCCTCCCACTCACACAGAGCTGACAGGCAGCTGCATCTCATCTTCAGTCAGAGAGCACAGCCACTCCTGTCGGACGACTCCTGGAGGAAATGTTTCTTTTACGAGTTGCTGCCTTAAAATGCAAAGAAAGGTGTCATTTTGCAAAGTTGTTGGCAAGTAACAAATTGCTGTGTTTGAGTATAATATTGAGGCACTATGAATATTTTCTATTTTATGCTACTTTATTCTTCTAATCCAGGACATTTCAAACGGAAAAATTAACATTTGTTGTATGTGATGACTATAGCTACTAGTTATGTTTCATATATATTAAAAATAAATAAATGAATAAAATTAATTGTATAATCATAAAGAGACCATTCTGCTTAATGGATGCTTTTACTTTTGATTCGTTTCTGCTGATATAACTTCTGTACTTTTACTTTGAACCAATTTTCTCAGTTAGCTTTTATATGATGAGCGATTGGGTCCTACATTACTCCACAAACCTCTGCCAAGGGAGAGCAGATTTGGTCATTTGTTAGGATTAACTGATTTCAGTATTTGTGTTTTTCTCTGTGCTCTTTTTGCTGGTTTAAAGTGGGTGGGCCTCTTTTGGAAAATGGTGATGTCATGTCTGTCTGTGAGTGTGCACCAATCAGATAAGAATTTGACAATATTTTTAATTAATATGTATTGACAGGTGTGGGGTTGTGTGTTTATGTTCCAGGCCACACCCACAGAGAGTTTGATCAGGTATACAATATTGAGTTTTTGAGTGTATATATTTAAAAAAAATCGAATTTTCGGAATGTAAACTTTACCATTGCTTATTGAGTCATAAATATTTATTGTTATAGAGAAACATTTAAACCAATAATAGAGAAATACACTTATCTATTTTCTTTCTGGTAGTTTAATGGATTAATAGCAGCAACCAGTTAACTTAGTTTAAGAGTGGAAACAGGAGGAAACAGATGACTGACTCTGTACCTATACAGCTCGATAATTAGCATATACACACATATATTATCATGTACTGTACATATGAAAACTGAAGTGTAAAAACGTCAATATGCCTAGAAAAAAACTAACACATGATTCCCTCTAAAATGGGGTTCCCAGTCTTTATGCAAGGATAAGATAATCAGCTGGTGGCTTCATATTTACCACACAGACATGAGAGTGGTATTGATCTCCCCATCTAACTTACTGCAAGAAGTGTATTTCCTAAAACTATTGCTTAAGATTTAAAACCAAGTTCTCAGTAAGTAAAAGTGAAATCAAAACTTTGAATGCAGGACTTTTACTTTCTTTTATTACTGCCTTTTCTTAATAAAAGGGTCCTCCACCCCTGTATGGCTATAATTTTAGAAAGGTATTATGATCGCCTCTGAATTTACTGCATAAGGAAAAATGCAGATTTTCAGCAGGAAGTTTTGGTCTCCATCAGATTCTGTTAAAGCAACACACTTTCTCTGTGGAGCTTGTGCTGTCCCTGCTCCAACAAAAACAAGCTGGAATTAGTGATACAGTGCAGTGAGACAGGAGGACAAAGAAAAGCAGTCTTTTGCTTTTACAAGATAAGAATATTCCACGCAGTGTAAAATGGAGACATTAGGATTTCTCACAGTTTGTCTCTTAGCTTTGCCGCTTACTTTGAGGCGCAGGGATATTTATCTGTGGCATTTCTCCTGATTTGTCATTACCCATCTATAGAAAACATTACTCAAAAGAACTATTCCAAGATTGGTTTGCTGCAAATGTAAACATTAACATAACTCTGCATAAAAGAACAGTTTTGCCAGCTTGCCAAAACTGCACAAATAGTATAAATTATTTGATAGATTAGAAATATATTTGAATAGATGTGTGCTTCTCTGTCACTGTTATCCCTTCTTTCCTCTTCAGGCCTATATTGCTGTGTTTAGGGAAACAAGTGGAGTTTAAAGCCAGTCAGTCCTAATTGTGTTCAGCTGTTTCTGGTTCTGTCTTGTTGGGGGGTGTTGGTGTGTAAGAGCGGAGGGACTGGAAGTGTGTGTAGGCGTCTTCCATTTCTCATGAGGCAGGTTGGGGGTCTTATACCCTCAAGTTTTCACAGGATGGCCTGTGTGCAGGAAAAAAAAAAGAGAAGAGGTGGGGTGTTGCACATAGGTGGGGAGGTGTAAGAAGAAAAACGTGGGAGGATATAGTGATGCTTATGCTAGCAAATATATCCTTGTATTCCCTGAGAGCAGGTTGCATTGGTGGGGACTGGGACGAAGCACACACAAAATTATAGCTTTAAGTTGTAGCAACTCAAAGATTTACTATCCAAGAAAATGGGAAAAATTGTCATGACTTCAGTGACAACCGCTGCTTTAGTTTTTGATAAGTTACTCCTTTTTTCTTTCATTTAGGTTCCCAAATGAGTAGAAAATTAGACCATTAAACCGATATCAAACACTACCCACATCTAAGGATGTCATTCTACAACCATCAGTTTTACCCAGAAGCCCCTTACATCCCCCCACCGCCACTACAAACAGCATTTACAACTCTGTTTGAAAGGGAGCAAACCAAAATCCACAGTTTCCCAAACATGTGTTGCCTCAGCACGAGTACAGAATCACTTTGTTTGCTGAGGTACGACCTCACAGTCACTGTATCCTATAGCTGAGCTGAGCAAAACCA